CCCCCGCCTGCCTCTCTGCCCCCGCCTCTCGCCCCGCCCCCGCCCCGGCCCGCGTCCCCGGGCCGCCTCTGCTCTGCCCAGGGAACTTCGGACGTCGGAGCGGCGGGACGCGAAGGAGCTGTGCCGGACGGCGTGATGGAGTCGAGTGGCCGCAGCGCGGCGGCCCCGGGCCGCGGGCCGCGGGTGCTGGTGGTGGGCGGCGGCATCGCGGGGCTGGGCGCGGCGCACAAGCTCTGCGGCCACCCGGCCTTCCCGCAACCGCATGTCCTGGAGGCCACGGCCCGCGCTGGCGGCCGCATCCGCTCAGAGAACAACTTCGGTAACGGCCTCCCCGGAACCCCTTCCCAGAGCCCAACTGGTGCTCTTCCGGTTCTGCGGCCGCCGCCCGGCCTGCTCCCAGGGCCCTGCCCCACTTAAGCAGCCAAAGTTTATGGGTCCCCGAAACCCGGCTACCATAGTTAGCAGGCCTGGGCCCCAGCCGGGGAAGTCACCTGCAGTTCAGCACAGCTCCTGGCCACCCCCCAGGCACTCCCCCTCCAGTCTCTTGGGGCCCCTTGGGCACCCTTCTGCCCCGGCCATCCCTCCTCCTCCAAGTGCAGGTGGAGGCCAGCCCCCGCCCCTCATGTGTTCCTTAAACTAGGCCCGACCAGGCCCTGCTGTGACAGTCTGTGGTCCTCAAGGACCCTGTGGCCCTGGAGCTGGTTTTCAGATGTGTTTGGGATGGGCAGGGCTGGATGTGGTCCAGGAGGGGGCTCCGGGCTGGCCTTTGGTGGGAGAACCTCAGGGGGCACCTTCTGTCCCTTTCAGGTGGCGTGGTGGAGCTGGGTGCTCACTGGATCCATGGACCCTCCCAAGGCAATCCCGTTTTCCAGCTGGCTGCCAAGTATGGGCTGCTGAGAGAGAAGGACCTGTCGGAGGAGAACCAGCTGATGGACACTGGGGGCCACGTGGGCCTGCCCTCCGTGTCCTATGCCAGCTCCGGGGAAAGCGTGAGCCTGGAGCTGGTGGCAGAGATGGGCAATCTGTTCTATAACCTCCTAGACCAGACTCGGGATTTCCTGCATGCGGCCCAGGCCCCAGTGCCCAGTGTGGGGGAGTACCTCAAGAGGGAGATCAGCCAGTGTGTGGCTGGGTGGACGGAGGACGAGGAGTCCAAGAAGCTCAAGCTGGCCATCCTGAACAGCTTCTTCAACGTGGAGTGCTGTGTGAGTGGCACGCACAGCATGGACACGGTGGCCCTCCTGCCCTTTGGAGAATACACAGTGCTTCCAGGGCTGGACTGCACCTTTCCTGGGTATGTTCATGCTGTCAGTCTTTCGTGTACCCCAGAACCCCTCAGTGTACCCCAGATCCCTTCCGCATACCTCATAACCTTTCTGTATACCCCAGACTCCCTCTGTGCACCCAAGAATCCCTCAGTGCACCCTAGAACTTCTCAGTGTACCTCAGACCCTCTCTGTGCACCTTAGATCCCCTCCATGCACCCCAGTCCCCCTCTGTACACCCCAGACTCCCTCCATGCACCCCAGATCCCCTCCATGCACCCCAGATCCCCTCCATGCACCCCAGATCCTTTCTGTACCCCAGACACCTGTGTACTCCAGGATACATCAGTGCACCCCAAGTTCCCTCCATGCACCTCCAGACCCCCTCTAAGCACTCCAGAACCCCTCAGTGCATCCCAGATCCCCTCTGTGCTTTCCAGGCCCCTCTGTGCACCCTGACCCTTTGGTTTATCTCTGGTCAAGCTCTGGGACACGGGCAGGATGAGAGGGAGCCATTTCGTCTCTTTGTCGTAGAGAGATTGGTCATTTGTTCCCCTAGCTTAGGTCATACAAGAAAAAGGAAGAAATTTTTTTCAAGAAAAAGCTAAGTCAAGAGAAGGAAATGTATCCTGTAATGCTTTCTCTCTCCTCTGTTTATGAAGTCTTTTTGACTTCAGAGATGGACTAGAGCTAACCAACCTGGGAGCCTTCCCTGCCCCTTGAATGGGCCCCTGCCCCACCTCACTTAATCAGCCAAAGTTCACAGGTCCCTAAAACCAGCTGCCCATAGTTAGCAGACCGGGAAACTACTTAGCAGCCCCCCCCCCCCCACTGTCCCCTCTGCTCTCTGGGTGTCCCCCCTGGTATCATTGTCACCTAGGCTCCTGCACAGGGGAGAGCATTTATACTCAGAAACAGAGCACTGGGCCTGGTGAGGAGGAGGTCTCGTTCTCTCCGTTGTCTGGGGGCATTTACCACCGGCTCATCTCTTTACCCCTCCTATTAGCCCAGAAGCTGGGTACTGACAATCCTGTGCTGAACCAGAAAAAGGGAGGCCAGTGAGGCCCATACCCTCCCTGCAGGGCCCCCGCTGCCCACCGCCTCCATAGACCTGGGGAGCTTACAGTGTCTCACATCCAGGGCCGGGTCCCCAGGCAGTGCCGGCACCTCTGTCTCTCCTAGGGGCTACCAAGGGCTCACAGACCACATCATGGCCTCCTTGCCCAAGGACGCAGTGGCTTTTAACAAGCCCGTGAAGACCATTCACTGGAACGGGTCCTTTCCGGAAGCTGAATCTGGGGACACGTTCCCAGTGTTGGTGGAGTGTGAGGATGGAGGCTGCTTCCCGGCACATCACGTCATCGTCACAGTGCCCTTAGGTGAAGCCCATTTCTGTGGTTGCGTTTCCTCCAGGCCCCTGTCCCAGGGCTCAGAGCTCTGGCTTTCTCCCTGCTCAGCTGGCTCTGGGGCGTTTGCTTGGCTACTGATCTCAGTTTCATTCCAGTTTCAGATAGCATTTCTCTGTTGTGTTTTAGAGCCGTTGCGTGCTTGGGAATTCAGAGTTTCACAGTAGGAGAATAGGCATGTCATGCTCCTCTAGAGGTAATTTCTGGCAAAGTGGAATTGCTTCTGGAGGCCCCCTAAGCTGCTTTCTTGGAGATGGGAGAGGGCCTAGAAACCGAGTCTAAAGTTGCATCACAGCAGCAGTGAAGGAAGGAGTACTGTGAATAATTCTAACTTCAGATCTGATGCTTTAGACAGAGTCTTTAGTAGAAACTGGTAATTTGATAAAAGGGGGAGACGGTTGAAAGTGAAGTTCTGTCCGGGGGGGTCACCTCATTTAGTCCTCAGGGAGCCTGAGGATGCATCTGTCCCTATCCTGTTTGACAAATGCCGGCAGAAATAAGTCACTTAATTGCTCACGTTCACCATGCTAGCAGGTGCCAGAGCAGATGGCAGATGAAGAGCAGGTGTCCTCCAGCCCCGTGGTGTGGCTTGGAGTTCTGCATGTCCTTTCAGAAAGTAATGTTGTGGACAAAGGGCTAACGAAATACAGCAGTGGGTATTTACGAACAAGCCCGCCTGCACCCAGTAGAATCATAGATGCAGTAACACTATTTTGTGGCTCCCTTTGCCTTTTTGGGTAGGGGGAGCTTAATAAAACGTTTTGTCAATATTTCCAAATGAGCACATATAGGTCTAGCAGTTTTTTTTTTTTACATGAACAGCTGTGCTCATGCACAGTGGTGGCGCATGTTTGCTGAGATCCTGCTGTAATCAATAGATGCATTGTTGCATCTGTGTCGTCGTCATTCACGGGAGGCAGGCCGGGCACTTGTAACTTTCGTTCTTTCTAACCACATAGTATTTTCTTGTATGAAGGTGTCATTACTTAATATTGATGGAAATTTAGGTTGTTTTCCCCTTTTTCTGTTTCATGCTATGTTTTCCATGTGTGTTTAAACGTACTTGTGTGATCGTCTCTGGTGGGTAAATTCCAGTAGCAGGAACTGCTGGGTTGAAGATCTGGACAGACAGGCTGCTGGGGAGGGTGTGGCCACCCCTCTGTGGAGCCTCATGACCACAGTGCCTGGCTTCCTGCAAGGCTGTTCATCCTTTTTTACTCACTTGCAAGCTGTGTCATGAGGAGGTTGGCTTATGCTGCAAATATTGCATTATGTTATTTGACTTTGGGCTAAATTAACTTTTTTGCCATGCAGATTACTTTTTGTGTAGCTTCTGGATAAACCCTGCATATTTCTCTGCTCCAAACTATTCCCTGAGAGGCAGAAGGCTCGGAAGTGAGACGCTGTCTCACAGAGCAGTCTGGGTGGGCTGTGTGCACCGTCCCTGCAGGACCAGGTGGCCATGGGGTCTTTCATGACCCTCCCCTATGGTGCTGGCCGGCCGAGGCCGAGTCCCTGGAGGCTGTGAGTTCTGATGGCCAAGCCAGCCTCACTTCTGTGCCCCGGGAGCTGGGGCCTGGCATGGTCTTGAGTGGACACAGAGTGCGTGGAGGCCTCTTTCTCCTGCTTCTCTGACGGGAGTTAGGGCAGTTCCTGTGGTTGTCAATTACAGTTTAAGAGGTTTATGTGGTGTAATTCCAGGTTTTCTTAAAGAACATCTGGACACTTTCTTCGAGCCACCACTGCCTGATGAGAAGGCACAAGCGATCAGGAAAATTGGCTTTGGGACCAACAATAAAATCTTCCTGGAGTTTGAGGAGCCCTTCTGGGAACCGGACTGCCAGCACATCCAGGTGGTGTGGGAGGACACGTCGCCCCTGGAGGACGTCACCCCTGAGCTGCAGGACGCCTGGTTCAAGAAGCTTATCGGCTTTTTGGTCCTGCCTTCCTCTGGGTATGTACACTTCCCGTTTCTCTGTGAAGCCTCAGGTGTGAGCTCTGAGTCGGGGCTGGCTCGCTGGCCTTAGTGTGGTTGGGGATCTAGCGATGTGTTGACTCATTGTGAGGCGTTTCTGGAGGCTTTCATGGGTGGGGGTCCCCAAGGGAGCCCCAGAGCACTGATGGGTGCCCTGGGCATAAGGCCCCCAGGGGCAGACAGTTCCTGCTGTGTGCAGCTCGGCGGCTTCTCTTAGCGCCTGGAATGTGCCGGTGGACTGGGCTGCACATCCAGCAGGAAGCTGGGGCTTGTAAGGGACAGGCGGAATTCGAAACATGGCTGTCTAACTGGGAGGGAGTGCTTAGACCCGATGCCGTAACTGAACAGGCATCCTTTAAGGTCATGGAATCACAGACCTGTTAGCAGGGGCCAGTGGTATGGCCTGGCTACACAGCGCGAGGAGAGCAGCATGAGCCGACTTGGCGCCAACCCAGAAAATAAGACTGGTTTTAAAGATGGTTTAAAAGATGCAGTTGGCAGACATGATTCCAGTTTTCACACAGACGTGGGGGGATTGGGGACCACATTCTCGGCCTGGAGGACTGAGGATAAGGAGGGGAGTGTGGGCGTGCCTACCTGCAGGGCTCAGTGCCAGCAGCCCCCACCCAGAGCAGAATGAGCAGCACCTCCAACCTGAGGGCACCCTGTGCGTCCCCTCTGCACTGAAGATAAAACTGACATCAGAGGTTTGGAAACGGGCCTGGGGTCATAGGAGGCAAGTGGACCAGTGACCGGGTGTGCTTGGCCACCTGCTCTAGGCCTGGCTCTGCAGCCTGTGCTCTGTGCTCCGGATGTCGGTGGGGACCAGGTCCCAGGGACTCTGGGTGCCTTCGTGGCCCAGGGCAGTGGCTCGCATACTTTGTGGTCTTAGGACCCCCTTTTGAACCCTTAAACATTCTCAAGGATTCCAAAGAGCTTTTGTTTACATGGGTTATGTGTATACATTTACCACACTAGAAATTAAAACAGAAATTTAGAAATATTGTTTAAAGCGACTGTAAGCCTGTTCCATGTTAGCATAAATAACATTTTTAAATGAAAACTGTATTTCTAAAACAAATTCAGTGAGAAGGGTGGACATGTTTTGTCCTTTTTCCAAATCGCTTTCATGTCTGCCTTCCTCAAAAGCAGCTGGATTCGCAGGCTGCCCCCTCTGTTCTGCTGCAGCATTTGATTCTGGTTGAAGAAGATGAAGAAGTTCTGGCTTATACAGATAGTAGCTGAGGAAAGGAGTAATATTTAAATAGTTTTCAGATCATTGTGAGTATTCTTTGATACTACAGAGACTCAAGAAGTGGCAGTTTTGTAAAGGTTAGCTGCAAGTGTGGAGTCTGAGCCACATTAATGGATTTTGTATTCCTTTGTGCTAAAATCCACCTGTCTTGCACTTTGAATGGACCTTTTATCTCTCTACGTTTTTGGTCATTCTGAAAGTAGTAGTTCATGCAGTCTTCCAAATGTTGATACATTTCATTGTGCAGTATCAAAATATTAACTCTATTAATAGCACCACTGGTCTCAGAAATCTCTTAGTATTGGTAACCTATCAAGCTGTAGATGACAGATACAAATTTTCTAAAATTCTGATTTTTTTCTCGAGATCACTAATAAAAGTTGTTTTCCTTGTGGCAGACACACTTTACCCAAGCTTGAATGCCAGGGTTTATCAGCCATTCTTTCAATCAAAAACAGTCCATGAACAAGAAGGCTTGTTCAGTGGGCTACTCAAACTGCTGCACGTGGCCCGTCCACCAGGTGCCCATTGTACATTTATGCCTGTTTCCCATCCTGTCACACAAGTATTAGACATACTCTAGTGAAGAGTTAGTGTTGTTGGTAAACTTTTACCGTGTCATCGAGGACATGCTCCTGTGGATCTGGCATTTTTTCCTGGGTGTGCAGTGAGGTGGTTAGTGTCATGGCCTCGGCTCTGCTAAGGGACGTCCGTTTGCCTCCTGCCCCCCGGTTGCTCTTGCCCATTGGGGTGCATGGGACAGTGGAAGCAGCAAATACCGTCTTAGTGTCGCAGATCCCTGGGGTCTCGAGGCCCCTGGGACTCTGGCCCATGCTTGCAGAGCCACGGGCCTGAGGAAGGCTCCCTATGGGTGCTTTGGGCATTGTTTGGGGCACCTGTGCAGGTGGCCAGGGCGGAGGGCAGGGCTGGCTGCAGGCGGTTTCAGTGGTGTCTCCCTGCTGCAGGTCTGTCCACATCCTCTGTGGTTTCATCGCTGGGCTGGAGTCTGAGTTCATGGAGACTCTGTCGGACAAGGAAGTGCTTCGGTGTCTGACCCACGTGCTTCGCAGGGCGACAGGTACTGACTGCCTGTGGCCAAGCCGCCTCCTTGTGCTTGATCTCCATGCACGAACCAACCTTTCCCAAACAGTGAAGAACTGAATTTGGCCCCAAGGGCATCCTGCCTCATATTAGTGGGGTCACTGAGAGTTCTAATCTCTGAGGAGCTGAAATGGCTCTGCAAACACTTTCCATTTCTGTTTTCTAAAATCTGCCACCAGCGTGAAGGCAGCTGTCCTTAATCAGAGCTTCACCTACGAAACTTGAGGAAAAACAGAAACCCCACAGCGCCACCATGTGGCCCCATGGTGGTGAATCAGGACTCCGCCAACCCCCCACTCCCCCCACCCCGTGGTGGCCGCCAGCGGACTCAGATTTCTGGGTGTTCTGAGCTGAGTAACGTGGGTGGGATGGAGAAGAGAGCCTGTTAACTCTCTGCGCTTGGTTTTCTCCCTGGTTAGGGTCTTTCGTTTTAAACTGCTCAGTCTTTAAAATGAGAGACAGGTTAACATGTGGATCTCTGTTTAGGAAACCCGCAGCTCCCTGCACCCAAGAGCGTGCTGAGGTCCTGCTGGCACAGTGCCCCGTACACCAGGGGCTCCTACAGCTACGTGGCCGTGGGCAGCACTGGGGATGACATTGACCTGCTGGCTCAGCCCCTCCCTGTGGATGGCAAAGAGGCCCAGGTATGATGTGCTGCCTGGGTGGGAGGGTCCCAGGCTCCCTGGAACAGACCCCCGTGAAGGCTGAGGGCCGCTGGGGCGTGAGTGAGTGGTGGGTGGGGCTCAGGTCCCATGTCTCAGAATCCATTTTCTGTTGAAATTAAGAATAATTTTAAAATGTATTATTTTTATCAGAATTATACACACATATAGCTTAAGGTGTCAGAGAATTCTGCAGTAGTGGCTAAGAAAATAAAAACAAAATGTAGCAGGCTGATAGGGGCCGCCCACTGCCCCCTCCCAAGGCTGCTCTGCCAGCTGATTCCAGCCTCTAGATTTATGACATCTCTAAATAATGTGTTATGCTACCACCTGTAACAAAACTTTTAGTTGTGGGAAATTTCAAATGCGTACAGAAGTAGGCAGGACCTTTGGGCCCCCTCCTCCAGCCCCAGAGCGGTGAGCTTACTCCTCCCCTGCTCGCCCTCCAGCCCTCCAGCAGGTCGTTGGTAAGCATGCCCCATGGGGATGGTGCTACATAGATGCCCCTGCGCTCCTCTCAGAGATACAGATGCCTGGCTCGGATGCCTCTGCAGATGCCTGGCTCGGATGCCCTTAGCACCCTGGAGTGCTGCGATGGCTCCTCGTGGTGTCTGGCAGTCTGGTTCCCCATGGCCTCGCAGAATTTGGGCTTGCTTGTTTGATGGGAGTTGCTTCTCCATTCTCAGTTTTAGGCATGCGGATTGAACTCTCTCTGCAGCAGATAAGGTTCTCGCTTCCCCCTCCTGTCGGGCCTGCCCCCATCCTCCCAAGCAGTACATGGTAATTTTGGGAAGATGGCCATTCGGTGCTTACGTGGTCTTGTTGCTGTAGGCACTGTCCACACCTGAGTGTGTCTGTGAGCGGTGTGTGCACATGAGTGTGGACATGTGTGTACTGTGTGTGAGCAAGTGTGTGCGGGGCTCCGCTAGCTGTCCGCATGCTCCCTGCCGTGCATCTGCACTGGCCACGGCTCAGCTGGAGTCTGTCCTGCTGTTCTGCCCTGTGTCCCCATGCCCTCCCTCTCCAGCCTCTAGCCGGCCCCACCACTCCTGCCCTGCACCCATGCTTTGTTGCGGTATTTGTACCAGTAGCTTCCTGAGAAAGAGACGCACAGGAGGAAACTTTATAGAGAAAGTGCATGTGTGATGATGTCTTTTTTCCTACCCATACCCTGCAGGTGTTCGGTCCCCATGGCTGGGTAACACCCCCCGCCACCCAGTGGTAGACACAGCCACTCTATTATGCTGCTGGGTCCTAGAGGTGGGCATAGTCGGCTTGTTTCTGCCCCTCGACTGCTGGGGTCTCAGCTGAGAAGACTTGGCCCACTGGGGTGACTCGAGGGCTGGGCCCTTGGAGGTCCCTTCCCTCACGTGGCTGGCCCTTGCTGGGCTGGCCCGAGGGCTGACCTCTGCGGGTGTGTTGACTGGAGTGTCTGCCTGGGGCCTCCCGTGTGGCTTGGCGGCCCCAGTGAGGCCGTGTGTCCCTGTGGTGCCCAGGGCCCCAGCACAGGCGTTCTCAGAGTGGGGACTGCACTGCCTCCCGTAGCCCAGTACGAAGTCACTCCACCGGCCAAAGCAGGTACAAGCCTGCCCAGACTCAAGGGCAGGACACGACTCCGCCTTGACTCCGCCTTTCTGTGGGAGGCCTCCCCAGTAACTCACAGCCATGGAAAAGCTGCGTGTCGGGTGTGAAACCGCAGCTGGCAGGTCATGCCCGTGGTGTCCTGAAGACATTCCCAGGCCGCTGCAGGGAGGCCCGGAGCCGCTCCGCTCCCTTTCTTCTCTGTGTCCGTTTCCAGGTCTCAGGAAGCCCCGGTGAGCGCTGGGCTGCCAAACTCGCCGAGCGCTGCTGGGAGCCCGGTGTGAGATGGCTCCTGTCCCACGTCTGGCCCAGGCCCAGTGCTTCCAAACTCGGAGCTGGCCCTGGTCATTGAGTCATCTCATCTCTCCGTTTAGTGTTTTCCTTTTTCTGGCATTGCTGTTGGGAAGGTGGGCTTCTGGGCGGCCTCAGACTGTCTTACCTGCTTCCTTCCTGATTCCCACCTCTTCGGGTTTCGCTCACCAGACCATCTGTTGTTTTCGTTTTGTGATTCTGGCCACGTGGTCCGAGGTGTCCTCAGGTGCTGCTCTCTCGTGGCAGGGGTGGAATGTGTCACATCAGGTGTGGGACGGAGCGAAGAACACAGCCGCACGCGCGCCACCAGCCCTGTGGCCACACCAGCCCTGGCACCCCACCGATCCCAGCCCTCTTTTGCAGCTCCAGGTACTGTTTGCGGGGGAAGCCACGCACCGGATGTTCTACTCTACCACACATGGAGCTCTGCTGTCCGGCTGGAGGGAGGCCGACAGGCTCCTCGCTCTGCAGGGCCCCCAGGTGCATCTGCCCGGGCCCAGGCTCTGAGCCCGACTCTGTGCCTCTGGTGCTGGGGAGGCTGCGCCGTCCTTCCGTCTGACAGGTGGTGCTAATGACAGCCCTCCTTCCCTGGTGGCTGGGCAGCTCTCCTGCCTCACGTCCGTCGCTGAGTCCAGCCAGAGCTGGGCATGAGCCGAGTGTGGGCTCTTCCTGGAGACATGTGCCACACTGATGGCACACATGAAGTGTAGTAAAGCTTCTGTGGCCAGAGTCCTCACGCCTGAGGCCTGTTGCATCTGTCTTCTGTCTTGCCCCAGTCCCATGCCATTGAGGGTCCTGTACCCCACGGACATGGCCGCCGCCCCTGGGCTCCGGGGGCTGTCGTCGCCCCTCATCAGGGACATCTTCAGGTGCTCTGAGTTCTTGTTGCTGGTGCCTGGGACCCCTCTTGTTCATCCTGCTGCCCCATGGGCTGGGCAAGGGCCAGAGACTGGGGAGAAACGAGGACCTGGGGACGCTGTCCTGACCTGGGGCCTGTCTTTTCTATAGAAATGAGCCAAGAGCAGAATAGCCAGGTGGTGGGGTGAGTGTGGGGAGCATGTTGGGGTGAATGTGCCAGGGTTAGTGTTACAGTCAGCATGTAGGGTACACTACAAGTGTTTGTGTGATGTGCTGGGGTGAGTGTTGGGGTGGGCTTGTTGGGGTATGCTGGGTGGTGTCGAGGTGAGTGTGTCAGGGGGCACAGGTGCTGTGCTCAGCTCACCCATCCCTCCCCTGCATCCCCAAAGTGCCCTGAAGAGTGGGTTGCATGGCCCCTCACAGCTGAGGAAAGGACAGAATGCCTAGACGTCAGTATCAGCGACTGCCAGGTGTTACAGCTGCCAGGGAGAACGTGGCATCTTTCCAGGACAAGCCCTGAGGGGCTGGTGTAGCTGTGGGGCAGCACCCGGGCTGTGTGTCGGGGGAGGAAGCAGAGCTGCAGAGGCAGGGCTCCGTGCCACATGCAGTCGGACCAGGGCCGTGCACCCACCTTGACATCAGCGGCTCCCTGTCCCTCCTCATGCCTCGGGCTGCAGTCCGTCCTGCCCCTGGTGAGGGACTGTGGTTTCAGGGCAGAGTGTATGTGTGCTTGGTTGGGTTCCTCCAGCCCCAAATGGCCATGCTGTCATACACCTCCTGTGCCCAGCAGTTCTGCAGGGACCTTCTCATCCCGCCCATTTGGGGTCAAATCACCCCTCCATCAGGTCTTGCCTGCTCGTTTTGCTCTGGACACCTGCAGTCAGGCAGCTGTGGGAGCAATCCAGAATTCAGCAAGGCTCCATTTTAGTGCTGTGGTGAAAGAATACAGCTCCCATCAGGTGTGGAGGTCTGCTGTGCTGACACCAGGATTCCTCCGGCTGTAGGCCTCTGGGACCCAAGCTGCCCTGGCTAGGGCGAGGGGGGTGGGGCTCAGTGAGGAGTGGCTGGGGGCTGCGTCCTTGCAGTGTCTTTGACTCAGCTGGAAAGCTGCTTGGGAGGCTTGTCTCCCGTTGGGGAAATGGGTCTCTCAACCCCAGGAACGTTTTGTGCTGAGCGTTAGGAGGTTTAAGACCTTCAAGACCACAGTAATGGCATTTTTGTTCTGAGAATCTGTGTATGTTTGGAAATTTAGGAGTTTGATTCAAAAGTTCCTTTATAGTAGTACTCTTGTAACCCAGTGTGCAGTTGAGAAGTTAAGACTCTTGATTTAAAGTTAAAACCTGGCTGCACTTACATAGATTATTAGGACAGTGAAGAGAATTTCAGGCTCATTGTATTAGCAGGTTTAATTTAGCAGAACTGCAGTCCGTATTTGCAAGGGGTCTGTTATATTAAAACCTGGAGTACTTGAAGTGCTTGGTAGACGTTACATTTACATTTGTAAGGTAACTTAAAAATATCTGAAAATTTTAATCAAGTTTGTGAAAAGGGACCAAACATTGACAGGAGACTGCTAAACTTTGTTACACTAAGGAAATGCTTAAGGAAGAACTAGGGTTTTAAAATTTAATGAATATTAATATATCTACGAATTCCTTTAAAAAAATGACCGGACTACGTCGGTCCGGGGTTTGGCTCGTAGCCCCGCCCTCTCCGTAGCCCCGCCCCGGCGCCCCGCCCCGCCCCCTGGGCTCTGTCCGCCGCCGAAGTGGCGTCACACGCACGCGCAGGCAGCGCCAGGCGGAACCGCGGAGCGCCGGAACCTCCGGCCGGGGCCCCGCGTCAGGCGGAGAGGTCCGTCGCGGAGCGGCCCCCTGCGCTGCGCGGCGTAGCGGGGCGCGGCGCCATGAGGCTGCCCGCGCGTTCGCTCTGTGGAGCGGCCGGGGCTGCCTGGCGGGAGAGGTTTCCCCTGGGCGGTCGCGACGTGGCGCGCTGGTTCCCGGGCCACATGGCCAAGGGTGAGGTCCGGGGCGGAAGGACAGAGGGGCGGGACTGCCCACCGGCTGCGCCCGCCTCACCTCAGCCGTGTGCGTGGCGCGTCTCCGGCGGCGGCCTGGGTGGCCGGGGCTGACCTCACCCTGGTTCCCGGCAAGTCCCTTCTGCCACTTTGATCCCCGAAGCCAGTTTCCACGTCTGTTTTTAAAGATACTATTTCCTGAATGTTATTTCGAAGGCCGAGTGGAAGAGGTAGTTGTGAGGCATTCCGCTGTTACGGCAGCGTCTTTAGCGGTGGCCGTTCTTGCCCCTGGGTTTTTTACTGTTTGTTTATCAAGAATTGCCCCTAAGAAGGCTTCTAGGACGCGTCCAGCCCTTGCCGGCGCTGCGGCTTGCTCCCGCCCTGCTCCTGCCCCCCTAGCACCCTGATCCACCCAATACCCAGTAACCTGCCCCGACAGCCTCTGCTGAGTGCTGTGCTCGCTGGCGTTTCCGAGGGGAGGGGCCGCGGTGGCCGTGGGGACTGGAAACCGGGCGGGGCGGGCCGGGCTGGGCCGTGTGGGCAAGGCCGAGGGGCTGCTGTTACCGTTCCTGAGCGGGAACGTTGGCACAAGGGAGCTTTGTCACTTTCGTGTTGCTTCTGGCCGGGTGAGTGCGGTGCTGTGTGTGTGGGGGTCGGGATGAGCGGCCGAGGTCTGTATGTAATGTTGCTGGGCAGCGGCGTCTGGGGAGGTCTGTCCCTGTGCCCTAGGTGAATCCAAAACCTGGGCAGGCGAAGGTTCTTGACTCTGATCCAGAAAGAATTCTTGAACAGGTTGGACGAGTGTGGGTAAGGAACGAATTCATTAAAGCTAGAGTGGCAGCGAGTGGCAGCATCCTTGCAGGTGGCAGAGAGCAGGGAAGAGCAGAGGAGGGTGGGGGACGCCCTCTGAACTCCCACTCAGCGCAGGGCACACCCCTCGCCAACTGAAGCCAGAGTCACCTGGCATCCAGGGTCCGCTTGAATCCGCACAGCACGGGAACTAGGCCCCCACCGCCCCAGGACCTGGGGTCTCCGCAGAGCACTGGGTGGAGTGAGGTCATGCTGAGAGCTTCCCAAAGGCAAAGAAAGGTTTGCAGGCAGGCTGCTAGGGAGCAAGGTGGTACACTGCAGTCCTGCCCCAGTCACCCAGGACGTGGGAGCTTGCAGGCCCAGACCAGAGCTCCCAGGAGCCCTTCCCTGCTTGTCTGAAGTAGGACAGAGAGAGGGAAGACTTATGCTTAAGTCTAGAAAATTGAATGAAATAGCAAACTAACGGAGATGCTTACCACTGGGAAGAGGTTCTCTTATTGTCCTCCCAAGAGGCTTGGAAATGCAGAGACAAAATGCAGTAAATTGAGCAGCAGGAAGGCTTTGTATAAGGCAGAGTACACACTCAAAGAAAGCAGAGTGCAGGCATCCGCTGAGAGGTGGCATGCTTAAGGGCTTAGGATTGCGTCTTCTAAGGATTTCAGGAATAGGGGTGTAACTCCGGGGAGAGGAAATCCCGGGACAAAATACCTCTAAAACCAAAGTCTATCAAAGGGAGAAATAAAGTTTAAAACCTGTTCATTGCTTACAAACTGCGGTTCGGGACCGTTTCTCTTTTTGGCTCCTGCAGAAGCAAGGGAGACCTTCCCCCACCTCTCAGGTTCAGATAAGCCCTAGGTTACCCAGGTAATTACCTAGTGATATGTAGACAAGCATTCCCCACCCCTCAGGAACGCCTCTTGATATGCAGATGCACTATAGGCAGGAGAGACATTCTGGAAATATTATAATTTTACTCACTGGGGGCAAAGTGTGTATGTTGGGGTGGTGGTGTGTAGGCTTGACACATGGTCTCATGATGTCTCACCAGTGAGAGAGATTATGTCATCATGCATAGTCTGTCCTCTAGATACAGTGTAAGGTAAACTTAACACAGGAATTTATTGATGCTGTTCTTCTCCCAGACAGTGGTTCCCTTCAGATAGTGGCGACATACCCTGTAGGACTGCTCGCCCTGCCTTAGGATAGGGTTGGTCATTGGCTAATTACCGTGAAGTCTGTTGGGAGTATTATCTCCTAACTCCCTGGTTGTTAAACATGGAATCTCAGCCTTATGATGGGGTCCCTCCTGTTGTTACTATACTGTTTATATAACGGCATTTTTCATCATAGGCAGGAAGAGTCAATCATGGTGTTTGTCCCATACCCCTGCTCTGCCTCACTTAGAGGATCATCGTCTTCATCTAATAAAAAATCCGATGAGTTGGTCAGTTGGTGTTGACTTAGTTTATAGCTGAGGCCAGACCCAGAGAGGTCAACCCATCCAGGTGGTGGAGATGGTCTGGCGCCACCTGTGAGCTGTGACTGCCCCTCACGCAGGGCCTTCCTGCGCCTCTTTCTGAAGGTGGCCCTCAGCAAATGGTTGTCAGTTATTAGAGCACAGTTCCACTTAAATCTCCTACCTCTCTTGAAAGGCATGGACTCCTTAGGCATCCTTCTGTTTTCTAGGACTGAAGAAGATGCAGAGCAGCCTGAAGTTGGTCGACTGTATCATTGAGGTCCATGATGCCCGGATATCCTTTGGTAGTTGTGATATTGTGATTTATAATAAAAAATACATACATTTGGTTTTCTTCCCCTTTTCTGGCAGAGCTCCTAAAACCGTTGGAATTTTCTAAGTGTTGAGAGCGAGGGAGGTGTCTTTTGTTATGTTATGAGGTGATTCTTGGAAAGCCAGTAAGTCCTCTAAGGATGGGGGCTGGTTGCCAGGGGTACCAATCCTAATATTGGAGGGTTGGTGCTTTCAAATTCACCCCCAACCTGTGGGAGGGGAGAGGGGCCAAGGTTGAATTTACTGTCAAAGGCCAGTGATTTAATCTGTCATGTCTGTGTGATGAAGTCTCCATGAGAGCCCAGAACTACTAGGGTTCGGAGAGCTTCCAGACCAGTGAGCATGTGGGGACGCAGAGAGTGGCATGCAGAGCTTGGAAGCCCTTGCCCCACACCTTCCCTGTGCAGCTCTTCCATCTGGCTGTTCTGGAGTTATGTCTTCTAATAATAAACTGGTGATCTAGAATGTAAAATGTTTCTCTTTAGTTCTGTGAGCCACTCTAGCAAATTAATGGAACTCAAGGTGGTGGTGGTGGGTGGGAACCTCCAGTATGTAACTCGTGGGTCAGAAACACAGGTGACAGCCTGGACTTACGATTGGCCTCTTAATCTTGTGGGACTGAACCTTTAACCTGTGGGATCTGATGCCATCTCCAGGTAGATAGTGTTGGAATTGGATTGAATTGTAGGACACCCAGCTGGTGTTGGAGAATTGTTTGGTGGTGTGGGCATCCCTCAGTCCTGTTGGAAGAGGGGGCGGAACTGCAGCAGTGCGGGGAGGCCCTCCTTCCTGAGTCAGGCACCACCGAGGTGGCAGGAGGCGCTCCTGGCTTGTCACCTTGTCTCCATGGGCCTCTTCCCTCTGGTCCCTGCTCTGGTCCAGCCAGCACAGTAGCAGGGTCCTCATTGGTGCCATGTCATGGCTACTGACAGTCAAGGCAGTGACCCCCCCTCCTCCCGTGTTATATATTAGAGTTCCCCTAGAAGCCAGTGAACAACACTGGTCTTGGCCCCTCTCCAGACCAGTTAATCAGAGTCTCTAGTGTGAGGTGCAGGCCCTGTGTTTTGAGGTTCTCATTGATAACATAGGTGGCAGTGTTTGTCAAGGCTTCTGCCTGGCACACCCCAGCCTTCCGAGGCAGTCTGGCAGTAGAATTCTCCAGGTGGGATGTAAAACCTTGATTTAAATGTTCTTGCCAACCAGGCTGTCCTGTGCTTGAGCCATGAATCGACAAGATGTAATGATCTTGTTAGACCCTGTTTTTGTCGTACTTGAGCTACATTTAAATTCTCCTTATATGATGAAGGTGTTGATTTGAGGGTTATCATCTCCAGGATGTAGGATGAGGGACCATTTTCATGATTTCAAAGGCTTTTTGGAACTTCTGCAATAAAGTATTGCATTTCTTTACTGTAGCTAAATACATCATTTCACACAGTATCTCATGCTGGTCAGAAGTGTTTACCGGAAGTTATAAAAAATGGTGAAACCTGTAGTTGCTCCGGCACTGTGAGTGGCCATCCCTCCTCTACTTGGTCTCTAGGGGGCGTGGCAGGACCGCCTTGTGCTGGGCAGTGGCCCTGGAGGGAGGCTGGAGGCTTTTGGCGCTCTAAGTGGCACAGGGTTACCTAACTCTGGGGGAAGAGTGCAGTTTGTGGAAAGCCCCTTGGTGTGTGAGGAAGGCTGCCTTAACTGGTGCCTGGACCCGGGGTGTGGAAGGGGCCGAGTGCTCTGAAGGTAAAGGCCTCCCCACCCTGCCCTGCTGTGTCATTGTCACACAAGGTGGGACCCTAGTGAGCCCTGAGGGCCCCTGGCCAAGGGGTGGAAGGGCTGACCTGGCAGTAAGGTGGCAGAACCATCCCTGCAGGTCTTTGTGGAGGGAACCCTGTGTCTTCTTGGGGGTCACCAGAGGGTGGCGGTGGCGGTAGTCAGGACTTTAGGTAAGGCACCTTTTTTTTTTTTGAGTGATCAGATTATTCGTTTTGAACTTAATGAACCCTGGCAACTAAGCTATGACCCAGATATAAAACTTTCCACCGAGCTCTGTGTTTTTTGGTGGAATCATTCCTGGTTGAGAAGCCACGTGAGACCCCTGCTCTGCCTGTCCACCTTTTGTCTACCAGCAGCAGCCCGAGTCCTGCTGGGGGCGCAGTGAGGAGAAGGCACACCCTTTACCTAACCCTGAGGGCAGGGCTGGGGGTTAGTTTCCTAGTAGCTATGGGGGCCTGAGGTGGGGCAGGGAGGGGAGGCTTCCCACCTGTTGGTCCTTCTGAACGTGGGGCTTTACAAGACCAGGCAAGATGAGTTAGTTGGCTGGTAAAACTGAAGGAATTTTTGCCTTAATTGTGCCACATCCCATTTTCAGGCCGAAACCCTCTGTTTCGGGAGACGCTTGGGCTTAAGCCTCACTTGCTCGTCCTCAACAAGATGGACCTGGCAGATCTGAAGGAGCAGCAGGTAGAGACCCCCTTGCAGACACCACTGGGGCCACTTGCTCACTTGAGCAAACAACCCTTTACAATTACATGCTTCCCTCTGACGTCCAGTTTATGATCCAGACGACCAAAGCGCACACCTCTGGTGGCAGTGGTTGGGATGTGCTGCCGGCGACGGCCCCACGTGCCTGTGAGCACCTGAGCTGTGGCTCCTGCTGCCCCAGAACTGACAGTCACGTTTTATCCATTTTAATTAGTTGCAGTTTTAGTAGCTATGTGTGGCTGTTTGCGGGAAGTCCTGGACAGCACTGGCCTGGAGGTCCCCTGTGGTGGCTGCCTTTGCGCACAGGGGTCTGCACAGCCTTCCAGACTCCAGCCGGGTCCTGCGGGCTGCCTCCTGCACACCCAGGAGTCTGGCGCTGGGAGGGAGAGGGAGGCCCCAGAGTAGCTAGTGGATGTCTCCAGAGCCAGGCAGGAGCAGCGGGGACAAGTGGCCACGAGCCGGGTATTTCCCGTATGTCCCAGAGGTGAAGGGAACATGGCGATCCTGGAAATGCGCTTTGTGAGGTACTCATCTCTACTTTTCTTCCTCTGTTGTCAGGTCCTTCTCAAAGGGCAGGTGTCAGAGTCTTTTGAATTATAGCCTTTTTTTCTTTCAAGTTGTTAGTGGTGCAGCAGCAAGAACGCGTTTCAGGTTTCTTAGCTGACTGGTACCCCAACCAACAAGCCCCAGGGAAATGCCGGATGCTAAAGCCGGGAGAGTTCCACCGCAGACCCGGGCTGAACGCATTTCCCCGCCTGACGCCGGCTAGCTGAGCGCCCGCCCCCGAGCCAGCGCCCCTCCCGTCGCCCCGCCCCAGGCCTTCCAGCCCCTCCCATCGCCCCACCCACGGCGTCCCACCAGCGCCCGCCCCCCTGTGGGCTCGCTCCCCCCAGCTCTGGTGGATCTTCCTGCTGTGCACGGGTTTATTCTCCCTTGTCGCTGCATTTGCAGCTGTGATTTATCGCCACAAGCTTCCAGTTGCTTATATCAGCAGAGATTTGAGCCTTAGCAAGTGCTTCTGCCCTTGAATGCTCATTTTTGTACAGTGGTGGACGCGTTAAAGTGACAACGTTGGGAGGCACGACTCACCTGGTCCGGAGGCAGCGCGAGCGTGCGCTACTCTCAGGTGCTGCCCTGGAGGTTCTGGAGAGGAGGCGGAGGAGGGAGGGAAGCCCTCTGTGCCCGCCGCTGCAGTGGGCGGGGAACCCAGTGCAGCTTCAAATAGGTCTTTGTGAAGGCGTTTCTTGATCTGCACCATTGTAAGGAATGACTAAAACACTTCACTAAGTCACTGAATTAATGAGTGACCTCATTTGCCTCATTCATAATTTTGGTTAGTGGCAGATCAAACAATGAATACTGGTTTCAAAAATATGATTTCACTTGATGTTAAAACCAGTATATTCATATTAACCTTGTTTACTTCTGGGCTTTTAAAGTATTGCATATACTTTATCATCAGATTGGGTTCAAAACGATGGGGAATTCCTTTTGCCAAAGTTGATCAGAACCACAGGAGTGAGGAGTCACTAAACAAAGATCAACATGTATATTTAGTGGCTTCAGAATAACCTAGTCCAGCCTCATTTCACATGAAGGTGGCTGGAGCCCTGAGAGGGGAGGCAGTGTCTGCTGAGACCTCACACCTGGGGCCTGGAGCACGCAGCCCGAGGACCTGCTCAGCCGCCCCTGAGCCAGGCCCTTCACCCCTGTGCGCACCCACCGAGCCAGCTGCTCCTGCTGGTGGGCTGGCTGCCCTCCTCTGAAGCCCCTGCAGACAGTCCGCGGTGCTGCGTCATTGCACCCGTGCCCACCCCTGTCGTCGCCTGGCTCCTTCAGGTCAGCCCAAACTGCTCCTTGAATCCAGCCCCGAGGGCTCTGAGCCCACAAGCATGCCTTGCAGAGAGGAGCCCTCAGTCTCAGATCCTCAGATAGGAATATCATACCCCTCCTGTTTGCATTCAGTATTTAAAATGAAATTGTTTTGTTTCTTTCAGAAAATTTTACAACACTTAGAAGGAGAAGGCCTACAAAATGTCATTTTTACCAACTGTGTAAAGGATGTAAACATCAAGCAGGTAAGTTTTTTTCTGTTTTGTTTTCTAATGCTTCTGCTTAAAGAAATGGGAAACATACTATAAATTATAAAAGCATAGAAGCAGAGTTTTGGAGACAATCCGTGGCATGCTCGCCTTGGGGAGCCAGAGCGCATGGAGCCTGGGCAGACTGTGCTGGGCTTGGCACAGCCAGGCTGTGTAGTGTATTCTGGGCTATAAGTGGAAGGAACCTTTGGAAACACTCAGCCCTGATCTTCCCCATTGTGTTAGGAAAATTGCACCGGCTGACACGTGTCTTTGTTAGAAGGTGGTTTCAGTCACAGCTGCCACCCTCCGGTGGGACTGTCCTGCTGGTTTGTGGTGGAGGCACAGGGTACAGGTGACCCCTCCACCACACCGCAGTCTGATCCCCTGCCCTGATGTGGACAGAACCCTGGCTTCCCGATGGTGGACATGAGAGCACACCCCCTCCAGAGCTCGGATAGAGCCTGGTTTCCATGAGGAAGTGGCTCTGTGGTTGTTTTCTTGCAGGTCATCCCGATGGTCACGGAATTGGTTGGGAGCAGCTACCGCTATCACCGAGGAGAGGTTGGTGGGGCCCAGTGCTGGCTCTGAGACAGCCCCTCCTGCCCTGCTCCCCATGGCAGGTCGTGGCTGAGCCCCAGAACCACTCAGGCCTCAGCACGCACATGAGCCTCTCTGTGCACTGCTGCAGATGCCCTGCCCACGGAGCCCCCCTCTGTCCTCTCGTTCTTATCAGAAAGGGCGGGCAGAGCCCTGCAGTGACCTTCCCTCCCTCTGGGTGGCCCTGGGCTCATAGGTCTGGTTGTATGGGCCTGAGGAGGGTCCAGGTGGGCCCCCGAGTGCCTGCTCTTCACCTCCACAGAACCTGGAGGCCTGTGTCCTGGTGGTCGGGGTCCCAAATGTGGGCAAGTCCTCCCTCATCAACTCGCTCAGGAGACAGCACCTCAAGAAAGGTACTGCCAGCCATGCAGGGGGCGGGAGGCTCGTTTCCAGGAGAACAGCCACTGGTGTGCTTTCCCAGGACTGAAGCCGTGGCCTCGCAGCGCCGGGCTGTCCCTCTCACCAAGGGGACCCAGGCAGCGACCTGCTGTTTGGTTACGTGGTCAGACGTCATCCGCTACATATTTTATACTTATTCTGCGCTCTCTTGAATATTAGATGTCCGACGTGTTTTGTATGTGGATGACTTTCCCGAACTTTGGGCATTTTGTCTTTTTATTTGTTTAAGTCCCTCTGATCCATCAAACTTGAGGCTGAGTTGAAGAGTAGATGGGGTCTGACATCAGGCAGGCAGGCGGCTGAATGGGCTTCCCAGGTCCTGACCTGGGGGGTTGCATCCTCATGAGGATCGCCGAGGCTCTCCCAGCCTGTCTGCAGTCGGGGTGCCGGGCTGTCCCTGGGCCCACACTGGCCCTCTGGTTTCGGGTCACATGAGGGTCCTTGCCTCTGTCTTCTGTTCTGACGTATGTTAACATGTAACACCCACGTCCATGCTTGCCCTTGTTTTTCACCTTAGCACTGTGTTCCCTATTAGTGAACCTGTTCCCAGTGCACAAGCCCAGACACTGAACCGCACTGAGCCACTACTTCACAGGCCATATTTTGGTGCTCATCAGAGATTTGTACCAGGGATCTCTTTCTTAAAATTTACTTTTCTTTAATTGTAGCTTTAAAAAATGCCGTGGCATTAGTATACGTGCTGCCTTCGTGCTATTTCCAGACTTGCCGTGATTTCAGACTGAAGCCCTGTAATCCTAATGCTAAGGCCCCTCCTCCAGTCCTGGGGAACCTCTCACTGACTTTCTGTCTTTATGGTTCTGACCTGGTACCTCCTAGGGGTGGAGTCATGGTGACTGTGTGTGTGTGTCTGGCTTACTTCACTGACTATAGTGTCCACAAGGTCCATCCACATTTTACCTGTTTCGGAATTTCCTTTTGAAGGCTGAGTGGTATTCGGTGTTTGGATGGACCCTATTTGCTTACCCATTCCTCCACTGACAGACACATCTACCTTTACTCAGCAGCTGACTGAGCCCATGGTGGAGGGTCTGCTTGGCTTACCTTGAGCTGGGTTCCAGGGCAGCCAGTGTTTGCAGCGCAGGTTGGCCCCTCTGTCAGGAGCTCAGCCTCAGACAAGCCTGTGGCGGGCAGTGCCGTGGGGGCAGAGGATTCGGATGCAGGCCTGTACAGGAGGGAGGGAGGTGGCAGTGCTGATGAGGAGGCTGCTCTGGCCTTCCTGGTCCTCAGCAGGGGTGGGAGCACCTTTCCAGCCATGGGAGGTGGTTCTGGTGCTTGGCTTGGAAGGTGTCAGAGCTGGCGGGAACTAGGGCTTGGTTGGGCCTTTGTAGGTTACCATGTGCTTCATGCTCGTCTGGTGGCTTCTGCACCAGGCCTTATGTGTTCCATATACATTTACAGCCCCTTCAATTGTGCAGGAAAAGCCACCAGGGTGGGCGGCGAGCCTGGGATCACCAGAGCTGTGATGTCCAGAATTCAGGTAGGGGTCCTTGGCCACTGGCCCAGAGCTCTGCACATGGGCACCTGGCACTTCCCTAGGGCTCAAGAGGGGGTGGGCCTGCCTCTGTCCTGCCGTGTGTCCCTCCACCTGTGTTCCCACTGAGCATGCGCTGTGTACCAAGGTGCACTGTACCCGTTCTTACGCTGAGCCCAGGGGAGGACATGCTTCTCACCCTGCTTCTCAGACAAGGAAACTGAGGTTGCGCAGAGGTCAGGGTGGAGCTGAGCTGGCCTGTTGTCTCAGTTGTGGTCAGCTGCTTCGAACATCTACTTTTCTCCCTGGGAGGAGAAGGGGGGCTATTGGGCACTTTTAGATGTCCGACGTGTTTTGTATGTGGATGACTTTCCCGAACTTTGGGCATTTTGTCTTTTTATTTGTTTAAGTCCCTCTGATCCATCAAACTTGAGGCTGAGTTGAAGAGTAGATGGGGTCTGACATCAGGCAGGCAGGCGGCTGAATGGGCTTCCCAGGTCCTGATCTGGGGGGTTGCATCCTCATGAGGATCGCCGAGGCTCTCCCAGCCTGTCTGCAGTCGGGGTGCCGGGCTGTCCCTGGGCCCACACTGGCCCTCTGGTTTCGGGTCACATGAGGGTCCTTGCCTCTGTCTTCTGTTCTGACGTATGTTAACATGTAACACCCACGTCCATGCTTGCCCTTGTTTTTCACCTTAGCACTGTGTTCCCTATTAGTGAACCTGTTCCCAGTGCACAAGCCCAGACACTGAACCGCACTGAGCCACTACTTCACAGGCCATATTTTGGTGCTCATCAGAGATTTGTACCAGGGATCTCTTTCTTAAAATTTACTTTTCTTTAATTGTAGCTTTAAAAAATGCCGTGGCATTAGTATACGTGCTGCCTTCGTGCTATTTCCAGACTTGCCGTGATTTCAGACTGAAGCCCTGTAATCCTAATGCTAAGGCCCCTCCTCCAGTCCTGGGGAACCTCTCACTGACTTTCTGTCTTTATGGTTCTGACCTGGTACCTCCTAGGGGTGGAGTCATGGTGACTGTGTGTGTGTGTCTGGCTTACTTCACTGACTATAGTGTCCACAAGGTCCATCCACATTTTACCTGTTTCGGAATTTCCTTTTGAAGGCTGAGCGGTATTCGGTGTTTGGATGGACCCTATTTGCTTACCCATTCCTCCACTGACAGACACATCTCCCTTTACTCAGCAGCTGACTGAGCCCATGGTGGAGGGTCTGCTTGGCTTACCTTGAGCTGGGTTCCAGGGCAGCCAGTGTTTGCAGCGCAGGTTGGCCCCTCTGTCAGGAGCTCAGCCTCAGACAAGCCTGTGGTGGGCAGTGCCGTGGGGGCAGAGGATTCGGATGCAGGCCTGTACAGGAGGGAGGGAGGTGGCAGTGCTGATGAGGAGGCTGCTCTGGCCTTCCTGGTCCTCAGCAGGGGTGGGAGCACCTTTCCAGCCATGGGAGGTGGTTCTGGTGCTTGGCTTGGAAGGTGTCAGAGCTGGCGGGAACTAGGGCTTGGTTGGGCCTTTGTAGGTTACCATGTGCTTCATGCTCGTCTGGTGGCTTCTGCACCAGGCCTTATGTGTTCCATATACATTTACAGCCCCTTCAATTGTGCAGGAAAAGCCACCAGGGTGGGCGGCGAGCCTGGGATCACCAGAGCTGTGATGTCCAGAATTCAGGTAGGGGTCCTTGGCCACTGGCCCAGAGCTCTGCACATGGGCACCTGGCACTTCCCTAGGGCTCAAGAGGGGGTGGGCCTGCCTCTGTCCTGCCGTGTGTCCCTCCACCTGTGTTCCCACTGAGCATGCGCTGTGTACCAAGGTGCACTGTACCCGTTCTTACGCTGAGCCCAGGGGAGGACATGCTTCTCACCCTGCTTCTCAGACAAGGAAACTGAGGTTGCGCAGAGGTCAGGGTGGAGCTGAGCTGGCCTGTTGTCTCAGTTGTGGTCAGCTGCTTCGAACATCTACTTTTCTCCCTGGGAGGAGAAGGGGGGCTATTGGGCACTGTGGCTTTTATTTATTCTCCTAATTAAATGGGGATCAAGTCCTCTGGGGATATTGAGACCTTGCTGGACATGTGGACACCTATTGGGGCAGGTTTCTGGGGCCTCCTTGGAGCCTCAGGAACCCGACTCTGAGGCTCATGGGGTCTCTCAGTAGGAGGCCTGGCAGGAGGGGCTGCTCAGGACTTCCTGCGTAGTGGGCCCGACCATCCTCTGACCATAGGTATGTGAGCGGCCACTGACGTTCCTTCTGGACACTCCTGGGGTGCTGGCTCCTCGGATCGAAAGCGTGGAGACGGGCCTAAAGCTGGCCCTGTGTGGTGAGTGGAGCCCCCGGATTGGGTGGGTTATGCCTGCCCTTCTCTGCTGGGCTGCTGTGGAGGGGGGCGGTCTAACGCAGTGTCACGCAGCCTGGCCCCCAGCTGACGCATCCTGGGTACTGCTCTGACCCCATAATCCCCGCAGACGGGCGGAGAGGTCAGGTCGGGCAGCCACGGCATGGCCCTGTCCGCAGCGTTTCTGGCAGAGACCAGGAGGCACTCAAGCTCTGATGCCAGGCTGTTTCTTGGCGCTTACTCTCAGCTGCCTGTTTCCAGGAACCGTGTTGGATCACCTGGTGGGGGAGGAGACGCTGGCAGACTACCTTCTCTACACCCTCAACAGGCATCAGCTCTTTGGGTGAGTGCAGGGCAGGCAACTCTTTCCTCGCCATCCCAGCTGAACACGTGAAGGAGAGAACCAGTGCCAGTAGGGGTTGTGGACAAACGGCAATCTGCATACGTGTAAATGTGCAGTTCAGTATGGTTTGACAGGGAGACGTCTGAAATAGTTAGTCAAGGAAACCCCCTCAATTCTTGTGTTGCTTTGTAACCCCTCCTTCCCACCCACTCCTGCCCCCTCCCTGTGCCCCGGTAGCTGTCTGCTTCCTGTCGCTTTCTGGAATTTCCTGTGAATGGAGTCATACTGCACATGCTGGCCCTTGTCTGGCTTCGTGCACTTGGCGTGATAGTTTTCAGATTCCTCCCCGTGTGATGTGTGCTGCTCGGCCCCCCCAGTTGCTGCTGAGCAGTGTTTCCCTGTACGGGGATGTACACAGCTGCTCTGGGCATGGGGTGGTGGGAGCTGTGGGTGTTCCTGGATGTCCTTGTTGCATTGAGGACAGGAGCCTGGCTAGAGGTTTATTCATTTTATAATTTCCCCCAAAAGCAGCCCCTTTTGTTCGCAATGACTGTCCAATCATGGGTTACTGTTCATTCTTACTGTCCCTTATTTCCACGCCAGTGGTTCACCTTCTATCTCCCCCATCAGCCACCACCAGGGGGTCGGTTTCCTGTTCCTGTGGGTCTGCCCCTATTTGCTTCGTGTGCTTCGAAGCCCCACTGTGAGGTGCAGAAGCATCTGCAGGTTGTTCCGTCCTCTTGATGGTTCGATGTCTTTACTGTTTCAAGTGACATTCTTTTCCTTCAGAGTATTCTTGGATGTCCCCTGGCCTGATACGTACGTAGCCACTTCAGCTTTTGATGAGTGTTAGTGTGGCAGGCCTTTCTGTCCCACTTTGAGCTCCTTGTGTGTCTGTCTAAAACGTGTTTCCTTTAGGCTGCACATAGCTGGGTCTTGTTCCTTATCCAATCTGTTTCTTTTATTTAGGTGTTTAGCCATTTCTGTTGATGGGATTATTGGTTTTGGGCTTAAATTCATTATCTTATTACTTGTCCTGTTTGTTCTTTTCCCTCTCTTCATCTTTGTGTGTGTGTGTGTGTGTTGCTCTTTGGACTTTTTTAAGATTGATGGGGTACTGTTTACGATTGTGTTCCATGCCTTTGTTAGCTTGTTACCTGTAACTTTTGCAGGAGGTTGCCTTAGAGTCTGTAGAGTGTCTAAGTGGCACAGTAGCACCTCTCCTATGTTGTAAGGGACTTATAGCAGCATATTCCCATTTTCCTCATCTTGACTTTTGGGCATTGTTCAGATGTCTGACTTCTGTATATGTTATAAGCCCAGATTCACTGTTAGTACTTTTGTTTATACAGAGCTTTGAAGTGCACAAAGTCAGTCCTGGCTGTCTGCCCTCCGCTCTCCCGTCCACGGTGCCGCGTGCTGTGTATGTGGACCCAGGTTCGCACCTAGTGTTGTTTCCTCTGAAGATTTCCCCTAACGTTTATTATGATGCAGGTCTGCTGGTGACGATCTCTTTTGGGTTTGGGTTGCCTGGACATGTCTTTACCTTCATGTTTGAGAGAGATTTGCTGCATGTGGTTCTGGGTGGACGGTTTTGCAGAACTGCAAGGATGTCGCCACCCTTCTCTTACCTGCGTTGTTTCTGATGAGAAGTCTTGTGTCTGTCTTGTTCCTCTGTGGGTAATGTTCCTCCAGCTGCTTTTAATATTTTCTCTTTATCATGAATTTGAGCAGTTTATGACCATAGGCCTTGGTGTGGTTTTCTTCATGTTTCCTGGGCTTATAGTTCATTGGGTTCCTATATCTGTGGCTTTGTAGTTCTTACCAAATTTGGATAAGTTGCAACCATTATTTCTTCCTGCGTTTTTCTGTCTCCCCTCCCTCCCTGCGGGACTCTGTCACCCACATGTCAGCTGTGCGGGCTGTCCTGCTCAGCAGTGGGGTGTTTGGGCTCCTTGCTCCTCCCCTGCAGTATCCGTCCTGCTAGTAATGCCTTCCACGTGTGTCTCATAGTGCTCACCACCAGAAGTTTGATTTGGGTCATTTTTTCATTTCTTCCATGTTGTTACTTAGCAGTGGAACCGCATGAAGGAGGCCCCAGTAACCAGCTTACTGGCCTTGCTGATTCTTGCATCTGGAGCAGCTTCAGCCAGTCGAGGCCCTCACGGTGGGCCTGCTTTCCTGCTGAGATGCCTGATCATTCTTGCTGGGATGCTGGGCATTTTGAACTCTACTTTTTGGGTCCCGTGAAAATCCCTGAGCCTTGTTCAGGCACAGTTATCTGGAAACAGTTTGGTGCTGTGAGGCCTGGGGGTCTGGAACAGCTCCCCTGGCCGAGGCAGGGCCCTGCCTGCCCCAACACTGTGGGTCCCGAGGCTTCTGTCTGTACTTGCCTGTGGGTGCGGCCACAACCCCTCTGCCTTTCAGCCTGGGGCGTTTCCTTCCTCCTGTGAGTAGCTCCTTCCTCTGCTGACAGTCAGAGGGGCGCTGCCGGCTCCTGGAACCCCGGGTAGCTGTGTCCTTCCTGTTCTCCCATGCGGCCTTAGCCACCTGCCTCCCAGCACCCTGCCCTCCAGCAGTCCCTGGGGACGTGGGCTCCAGCACGGCCTGTGTGCTGTGTCTGCCTCGCGGCCTCAGGTCTGCGCCTTGGAAACCGTGGCTTTATGTCTGTCTGGTCGCCGCTTCTGTTCTGCTTGTTTCTGGTGGGGGCGAACCCAGGACTTGTTCCTGTCTTGCACGGCGTTGTACTATCAGATGGGATTCTTTTGCTTCCTGTTGCGGCAGTTTGGGTCTCTGCTGTTCTGTAGCATTTCTGGAAAGCAGCAGCTGAGTCTCTGCCAGGAGCAGCTCCAGTGGGGGTCCTCCCCGGGGCCTGTCTGTCTCCTGGGGACAGCTTTTGGGATTGCTGGGACAGAGGAGCCTGTGGGCGGCTGCTCCTGGAGGTCTGATGTAGGACCCACGTTCCTCAGGATTCAGACGTCCTCTGAGGCAGGGGCTGTGATGTGCACATGGGGTCCAGGCCTCATCTTCGTTTGCTGGGCCTACAGCATGAGCATGACTTCCTCAAGGCTGAGCCCTGCCCCCCAGTGTGGGTCATGAGGCAGATGCTGCCAGATCTGCCACCGAGGAGGTTCTGGGTAGGGAAGTACTTGACTGCTGTGTCCCCACCATGGGGCTGTTGGTCCAGGTGTCTCCTGGATCCTGGGGGTCAGGGAGGTGCTTGTCTGGGGGGGTCCATCAGATCCGATGTGCTCAGCCACGGTGGCCTTTCCCATGAGGCCCAGGCCAGTGTTGTGGGGAGTAGGTGTCCACAAGAGTTGCCGGGCAGGTCTCAACAGTCCTGGTCTGTGCTGGTCTGCAGGCTACAGAAATGCTCGTTAGATGGACCTGTCCATCCTCCAGCCAAGGGGGACAGAAGTCGATCCTGGCTACACTGGTCCTGCATAGCTGCCCTGAGACACCCACACTGCAGACTGGACGTGTCTCTGGGGCCTCTGAGCTGACCTGGGGACCTGGGCCCAGGCTGTCAGGGTGGGTGGACAAGGCAGTTGTTCCCCCCCTTGTAGCTGAGGGCAGCTGGCCATGGCCACACAGGAGGAGATGCCAGTGAGTCTACCTTGGGCTTTCTCAGAGTCCAGACTCCCATGCCCACCCACGCCCAGTAGGGGTCCTTTGTGGAGCCAGGTGTGACCTCGCGTGGGCCAGGCTCTGGCTCCCAGTCACTGACCAGTGGCCTATGTGCAGGTACACGCAGTTCTATGGCCTGGGTGGGGCCTGTGATGACATAGCCAGTGTGCTGAAGCGGGTGGCTGTGAAGCTGGGCAAGACGCAGAAGGTGAAGGTGCTCACAGGCACAGGTGAGAGGAGGCCCTGGTCCCGACTGGCCTTGGGTGGCCACCCCATCCAGCGGGGCTGACTGTAGGGAGAGGACACCGTGGGTGCACAGGGCTGCTCGAGTACCAAAGGTTTCTGGAGAGGAAGGGGCCCTTGGGGTGGGGTGGGGCGGTGAGCTGCTCTGTGTACTATGTAGGGCACACTCCATGCCCCCCACCTTGCGTGGCCCCAGAGACTCCAGGTGATGGTGCCCTAGATATGCCCTGGTGCCTGAGCTCGGCAGCCCCCTTCTGTGGCCCTGAGGGCAGGCGGGAAGGGATGCCCCCAAGTCCCAGGCTCCTCGATGGCAGACCTGCCAGGAACGCTCCTTCCTCACCAGGCCCTCCTGTCTTTCCCAGGTGATGTGAATGTCATCCAGCCCAACTATGCCGCAGCGGCCCGAGATTTCCTCCAGACCTTCCGCAGCGGGCTGCTGGGCCCGGTGATGCTGGACAGGGAGGTCCTGCAGAGCACGCCCCCAAGCCAGGTCAATCGGTGAGGGTCTCACCTCCTGCCCGGCCCTCGGCAACAGGGCCGCGTGCTATCCCAGGCCTTCACTGCCAGGTGTTTGACGCTCAAGGTTCCCTTTTCCAGAAGCTGCACACTGGTCCCTGTACTCAGGTCTCTGCTCCAGGAAGGCGGCTCTGTGGCCTGGCCAGCTCCTGTTTCCGGGGGACTGCCTGGGTGTGCCTGTCAGGGCTGTCCTTTTCCCGGGTGCCCGGCAGGCGAGGCTTGCTCCTGCTGTGTCTTAAGTAGATAATGCTTCTCAGGAGTTGATGACACTATAACCTGTAATTGTAAAATTTTCAATTAAAAGGCCTGTCTGCTGTTGGCCATTCGTTGTACTGGTAGCACCTTGTCTGTGTGTTAAGGCCCCTCTGACAGAGGAGAAATGGGCTCTGCCTGGTGAGTGACTAGGGCTTTGGGTCAGGTTCTCAGTTCTGTGTCCTGGGTCCTGCAATAAAGGAGTCTTGTTGCCAATAGAGTGTTTATTTCACAGCCTAAGATGTGCACACAGACACGGACAAGAGGGTCCAAACAGTCACGGCAGGACCCAGGACTGCCTGTCCCGCTGGTGCCTCGGGGGCTGCCTTGCTCACAGCCAGCTGTGTCCAGGCCAGGAGGGTCCCTGGTTGTCGGCAGAGATCCCAGGGCAGGCGCAAGCCTCTAAGCACTTTTGACTCACAGAACAGCGGGGTTCTCCCCAGAGGCACCTCAGCATGCTGTAGTCAGACTGCAGCGGTCTAGGGAAGGCTATCCAGCAGCCTGTGTCCTGGAAGAGGGCTGAGGAGGGAAAGGCATTGGGTGGGGCGGGGCAGGTGCACCTGGTCAGCAGCTCAGGCCCTTCTGTGTCCTGTGGTGGTGCGACCTCCCTGGAGCCAGGGCATCTCCCCTTGCGCAGGTGCCCTCCCTACCACCCCATGTGGAATAGCACACTCGCTTACTAACCTCCCCTGAGGTTACCCACTGAGTGCTGTCCGCCTCCCGCCAGAACTGACAGCAGGGGTGGAAAGTACTCAAAAGATTTGTGGCTATGCCAGATGCCAAACATGCTCCCAGAGTCAGGTTGGTGTGTGAGGGTCTGGTCTGGCAGTTGCCCTGCATCTTGGTGGGTGTCAGAGGCTGGGCACAGCCGGGCAGGCCCCTCAGGTAGGACTGAGCTCGCCCAAGGAGCCACTGTAATAGTTCTCCCTGGGCGAGACTTTCAGATCCCCTTGCAGCCTGCCGGGCAGTGGAGGCCCAGCAGGGCTTGGCCATGGCTTGCTCATCTTTGGTAGCATGGAGCTTGCTGTGGATTGGACAGAGGAACATCTAGGCCCCCTGCAGCCCTGGAGTGCTGGCAGTGTGGACACGGGAGCTGAGGGCTGCTATGTCCTGCAGTTTAGCCCTCCAGTCTTTGGAGAAAAATGCTTGGCTGGAGACCCTCCCCCTAACCAGAGCTCTGTGCCAGCTGTGGGGGAGCAGAGGTGGCAGGGCTCCCTGGAAGATGCTGGTATGGCACTGGCATCCATCAGCTGCGTTCAAAGGCTTCGTGGCCCAGGGTGCGAAGGCAAATTCTGGGAGGCAGTCTGGTGGTGGGGAGGCTCCCGCTGAGCACCGAAGGATGGCGAGATCCCCAGGGACCAGGCCTGGGAAGCTGTCCTGCTGTGGGATAAGGATATTTGAGCTGGGGGATGTGGTAAGGAGCCAGGAGCCCCAGGCCCAAGCTCATGGACAGGGAACCAGCCTGGTGGCTTGAAGGCCACTGGGTGCCCAAGAATCAAGGGCTGGCCTCATGCCCAGCGTGTTTGGATGCCAGAGGCAAACCGTTGCAAGGACCTGCCCAGCCTTTCCTTAGAGGCTACTTGGTGCCTGCCCTGTTCTCAGAACATCCTCTGCTCAGACGTCCTGTAGTGGTGTGGTAGGAGTCCTGCTGCACCCAGGTGCCATTCTTTCTGGGTGCTGGGCTCTGGCCTGGGTGGCTGTTGCCTGCACAGATCTGCCAGAACCACAGCTGGCAGTCCCTGGTGGGGACTCTCCAGGGACGTGTGCAGTTGTCCCTGAGTGCAGGCAAGGACTCTGGTCCCGGAACACAAACCTAAAGATCAAAGGAAATGGGACATTTGAAATTTAAAGAATGGTACTTTTTTTTGTTTCTTGTTTTCTAAAATAGTTCCCAGAAGAGTGACTTGTTTCAAGTCAGAGCAAAGTGGCTCCAAGGGAACCCCAGGCAGTGGGTCTCACAGAGCACAGCCCAGAGAAGAGGCCTGGCCTTTGGGCCTGAGGGTAGGGAAGGGACGCTCCAGACGGGTGCCTCCTGGGGACCATGATGGGCATGCCCTGACTCTGAAGTCCACAGACCACCTCTTTCAGGAAGGTGGCTGGAATGCTACAACCTGTGAGCAAAGCCTCCCTTCTCTCCTTCCCCCAAATCCTCAAGTCCTTTGATCCATTCTGGCTCCTTCTGTGGGGGAGGCTGCCAGGATCCTCGGGGCTTGCCTGTCTGGTGGTCAGCACTGTCCACACCCCTCAAGCGTCCAGGGGAGCCGGAGTGGCCTGAACAGCCTGGTCCTGTTCAAGCTGGCACAAGAGCGTGGACAGCTGCCTGTCTGACTGGGACGACCCTAACATCCAAGTGGCAGGCACAGCGTCCCGGAGCTGATGAGTCTGGTGCCTGGTCAGGTGGGAGATGGGGAGACCGGGGCGGGGCTCGGACAGGACAGTGACAGGAAGTGGCCCCAGGGACACAGGCAGGAGAAGCTGCAGTTCCTAACCCTACTTCGTGGTCGCCCAGGGGGCCCCTTTGTGCTCGCAGATCAGAGCAGAGGGGGGAAGGCGCGCCCAGGTGGGCGCCTCTGGGGAGGGCGCGGGCTGGGAGCGGCTCTGGCCGGAGCCCAGCCGGGCCTAGGACCGCAGCAGCCCCAGGGCGCCGCCCAGCAGCAGGCAGAGGTGCGGGCCGCGTGCGGGCTCTGCATCCGAAGTCCACGCTCGGTAGCCGTAGACGCCTCGGCTAGTCCCGTTGCCGCTGAGCGCAGCGTCTTCGTCGCCATCCAGGCCTCGCTGTCCGGGGCCCGCGGCTCTCCTCCAGCTCGAGCCTGCGGCCAGGCTGGCGGCCGCCCCTGCTGCCCCCGCAGCCGCGCCTGCAGCAGCCACCCGCAGCGAGGAGCCCCCGTAGCGGGGCACCGGCCTCACGCGCACTCTTGGGGCCCCGCGCGCGCCCCCGCGCAACCCTCCCCGGGCACTGCCGCGAGCCCCTCCGCGGCCGCCCTTGGCTGCGCCGGGATCGCAGAGGAAGGCAGCGGCCAACAGCAGAGCCCAGCACGTCGTGGCCGTCCAGTTCATCTTCGTGGGGCGAATCCTGTGGGAAGACGGTAAAAGACCACAGCTTCTTGAGGCCCCGGGTGTTCAGGGCCTGGGATCAGGGGACGGCCTGGAGATGGGAGACCCTGCTTGGGAACGGGGCTGCGCCTGTGGATAGGGGCTCAGGGCCTGGGAATAGGGGACTGACCGTGCCTGTGGTCAGAGGCTCAAGGCCTGGGAACAGGCGCTCAGGACCTGGGGACAGGGGACTCGGCATTTGGCTGTACACAACAGGTCCCCCAGCTTCTGGGGGTACTCACCATTCAGGGCTGAGGTGGCTAGGAGGGGGGGGGGCCCACCTGAGGATTGGGGAGCTTAGGCCTGGGGAGAGGGTGGGGGTCTTGTTCATTAACTGGGAAGGGGTGGGTGGGAGGGAGATGAGTGGATTCAGCACCTGTGGGTCATTCTGTGCCTGGGGGCAAAGAATAGGGGCTGGTGAGCACCCCGGGGTGGAGGGTTGCTCAGGTCGGGGGTAGGGCTCTATGTCCTGGGCTGCTCTGGTGGGATTGAGGCCGCCGGGGTGGGAGTTGTGTTTGAAGGACGATCTCAGGGGCCGAGGGTCCCCAGGGACCCAGAGCGGGATCTGCAGAAAGGACCGAACGTGCATCTCGGCCCGGGTCTCCCGGACGCTTTGGGGCGGCGCCAAGAGTGCGCGGCGGGTGACACTGCGGACCCCGCACCCGCTCGCCGGGACGCAGGGGACAGACCCTCCAGCCCCAACCCGCCCCGCGAAGCGCCCCTCCCCCGGCCGCCTGGCCGGGCAGCTGGGGCGGGAGGCCGGGACGCAGCGATCTGGGCGGCGGCTGCAGCCTCCCCCGGCCGCGCGGGCGCTTCCTGCCCCCTCCCTCCTCTCCCTCCCCCACCTGGCCACCCGCCAGCCCTACCGGCCCCGCGGGCCCCGCCGCCGGCCTTACCCGCCGCGGCTTCAGTCAGAACCGCGGGCCTGTGTGGCCGCTCCAGGGGCCCAGGCCGAGCGGAGGGAGCTGGCAGTGGCGGACACCCTCCGCCGAGCGCGGACCCGCGGACCCGCGGAGCCGGGATTTTTCGCGAGGCCTCCGCCCTAGGCTTGGGGGCGGGCAGACGCGGAGGCTCGTGCCCGCGGGCGGGAAGGGAGGAGATAAAGGCAGGTCTGGGGAGCGCGCAGCCCCTCCCTCTCCGCGCAGCCCCGCGTCCTCGCCGCGCGCCGCCACCAGTCTGCATCCTACGTGCTGATCCCGCACACGTCGGTCCCACCGTCTCCAACAGCCAGGGAGCCCCCAACCGCGTGCTGACCCCGTGCCCCACGGCCTGCATCCTCCGTCCGCCCACCTTTCCACACCGTCCCATTGCCCCCACCCCAATTCCTCGTCTTCATCCCTGCCCAGGACGTAGGGACCACGAATGCCACGTCAGACACTGAGCTCCGGGTCCTGCGTCCAGCGCTCTGCCCACGGAGGTCCAGAGAGGAGGCTGTCCAGGGACCCACGGTGCCTGGAGTCAGGGCAGGGCCTTTCCTGGGCACCCAGCCGCAGCGGACCCCCTTCCCAAGCCTGAGAAAGGCTGTATGGGCTCCCTCCTCCCGCACTGCAGTGCCCACTGTTCAGATCCCTTCAGGGGGCCCTCCAGGCGGCCGCTCCGCAGCTAGGTCACCTGTCTGCCCCTGCCCACGCCGAGGCGCCCTCCCAGGGCCTACAGTGCAGTCTCCAGAGCTTCTTGAAATGGTGCAATCTTGCTTTCGAGGGTCTGTCTGGCCTGTGGCGTCCCTCCCACGGACAGCAGGCCCTCACCCAGCCTGGCCCTCTCCGCGGCTTTAGAGGTGGGCACAGCTACATCCTCAACTGCCCGGCTTATTTGCGTGATCTGACTCAGCTGCTCTCAGACCCCCGTGACCCCACATGCTGTGCTGGGCTATCTCCCCCTCGGTTTCAAATGCCACCTGGGCTGGAGGCATCTGCCGGGCTGGGTGCCTCTGTGCCCCGAGGGCTGGCTGGCACCCGCCGGGAGCTCTCAGCTGGGGACACTGGCCTTGCAGGGACTGCATGGTGACTGCCGCCCTCCTAGAGCTCAGCCAGGGCTTGATGGATAAGTGAAGAAATACGTTTCTGTCTCTTCTGAATAATTTAGAAGGAAACATTCTGGGAATAAAAACCAAGCTTATTCTTTTAATTATAACTGCTGTTAAAGGTCGGTGAGAGATCCCCTTGCATCTTGGCCTTGCTGGCTGAGAAGCGACAGTGATGTCTTTTAACCTCTGGTGAGTGAAGTCTGGAAAGACTGGTCTTTGACAGTGAGACAGCCCCTCCCTTCTGAGTCCCAGAGGAAATGACAGTAAAGAAATTAGCAAGGCGAATGGGAGGGGCCCCCAGGAGAAGTGATCAGTGGAGAAGGGGCTGGCTCATCAGGCTGAGGAGGAGGCCCACCTGGAAGCAGTGGCTAAGGAGAGGATCCTGGCCTCGGGGATCACTGCTATGGGGAAGGACGGTGGGTCAGTGAGGGCAGAAGCAGGGTCAGATGGAGTCATCAAAGGCTTGCCTTCCCTGGCCGAGGCCCTGCCTGGTCCTCACACCGAGCAGCCCCCATCCAGGAAAGAAGGCAGGTTCCCTGAGGAAACCGGGAGAGCTGGGAGCCATGAGCTGACACTGGGCCCGAGGAGAGGGCAGTGCTTTCCCAGCCGCCTCCACTTCCCCGGAGAGCCTCACCTCTTATCTCTGGCCTAACAGTTCCCTCCTGAGATATGTAAGGGAAGTACCAGAAAAACATTAGTCTCTTTCATGAAAATTCTAGACAAAATAGTACACGGAACCCTCGGGGCAGCAGGAGGCACATTATGATCAGCTCAGGGCCCGCGGCTCTGCATCGTGAAGTGCAGAGCGTCCAGCACTGGGGAAACGCAGTGACTGGGAAGATACTCATCATTTTCTCAAAGGAAGAAAACAAAGCATTTTACCCCTTATTTTTTAAAATTGAAATATATGTGACATATAACATTGTATAAATTTAAGGGATATGACATGATTTGATACAGTTATGGGTTGTAAGGTGATTGACGCTGTCAAAGCATCTGATTTTACTGAAACTCATTTGTGAGGAGAAAAGTGCCAAGAAAAATAACCCTAGAAGTGAATTTGTAACTTGGTAGAGGCTGTATTTCAAAAGACCTCTGCAGATGCCATGCCTCATGGAGAGCCTTTAAGTGCATCCCCTTAAGAAATAGGAGCAAGAAAAGACTGCCCGCTCCTTACTTCCTGTTCAACATCATGCCAGCCTGACCGCCGACAAGAAGCCGGAGCACTGAGGAGGCAGCCCTCGCACACTTATTCCCACTCAAGATTCTGAGCACCCCCAAACTACTTCTCAGCCCCGCAAAGCTAGGGGGCCATATGGTGCAGCCACAGCCAATGAAACCTGCCACAGGGCATGCTCTAGGGGCTCCTGGGAGGGCGTCCACTCCCCTGAAAAGGGGCTGCACAGAGCTGCACACTCTTTCCCTTTTCCTTCTTCTCCACCTGGACTGTGCGTTGGTGCCAGGAGGTGCCACCTGAAGACCACACGGTGCTGGATATACAGCAGGTGGGTCAGTCGGGGATGGGAGGCCCAGGCCCAGATGTACAGCAGGCGGCCACACTGCCCGACCCTTGTCCCTAGCCTTTTAAAGAGCTTGCTCCTGGGTACTCTGTGACTTGTAACTGCACGTGTATTGTAGACTTGAGAAAGTCTCTCTACCAGAACAGGAAATAGAAAATATAAGACAAGATGCCATTCACAGCAGCCAACACTCAGATCTGTGGCAGAAGTAAAACACTGCAGAAGGACGTAACAAGGCTGCATCAGTGCAGGGGGCAAAGGACAGGGCAGCTTAACAGTGTGAGGGTCATTCCCAAAATTAACCCATAAATCCAATGACATTCCAATGAAAACTGCAGCAAGATTTTAAAGGAAACTATTGTAGGCTGAATTGCCATATATTGACATATAGCCCCCAACTCATATATTGAAATTTTAAGCCCAGGACCTCAGAATGTGACTGTTTGCAGATAAGGTCTTTACAGAGATGATTAAGGTAAAATGGGCTCATTGGGGTGGACCTTATCAGAAGAGATCAGGTCACAAACATGCAGAGTGACAACTATGTGGGGACACGGGGAGGAGACGTCTACACTCCAGTGAGAAAGGTTCAGAAGGAACCAGCCCTGTGGACCTTGTGTCTGACTCCCAGCCTCCAGGACTGTGTGGAAATGGATCTCTGGTGTTTGAGGCCCTGTCTATGATGCCTTTTGGCAGCCCAAGCTGCCAAATGGATACAGAACCCAATGGTTTTGAAAGTCCATATGGAAAAATAAAGGTCTAATGTCACTAATTTAAAGACAAGGTCAAAGAAGAGGGCCTTTTGCTGTCAGAGACTAAGGTGTGGTAGTAAGCTGCAGTGACACTACCGTGCAGCCTTGGTAAGGAACGAAGAGAACTCAGGGCTCATGGACAGACTCATGTGGGAACGTGCATGTGTCCACAGCAATGAAACAAGACTGAAAATCTTGATAGAGAACGGGAAGCTGTGAGAACCAAATGAAAATTCTAGAGTTAAAAAAATATATTTACAAACAGGGATTAGATGTGGCTGGGACCCTGCAAAATCAGAAAACCTGCAGAAGAAAAAAGGTAGAGTTAGTGTGCACAGCAGGCTGCTGCAAGGCACTGGGCTCCCCCACAAGGCCCCCCACCCGCCAACTTTGGAACCAAAAGTACAGCAGAGAGAATGAGCCCCATGCAGGGTTCAGGGGCGCGTGTGGCTGACCGTTCTCCAAAACTGAAGAGAGGGGGCCAGTCATGTTCTGGAGCATCACAAACACAAAGGGAAGTGCCCCCTGCAGACAAACAGAAGATGTTAAAAGCTTCTAGCAGTGGGGAACCCAGGGACCCAAACAGAGTAGAAATGAGACGGACATGGGGCAGCTGGCAAAGCTGAGTTCCCTCTGTGTGTCTTTTGCTTGTCTCCCCATTGTGTCATCTTTTACATATTTATTTGCAGGAGCTTTTTATATATCTGTTTCTATGTTTCTTTATTGAGATGTAATTTACACAGTGAAGGGCACAGACCTGAAGTGTTGACTTTGATGAGTTTTGACAAACGCATACGTGCATGTAACCACACCTCATTAAGGTACACGCTTCCTTCACTCCAGAAATATCTCCCTCCCCCTTTCTGGTCAAGTCCCGAATCCCCATTCGAGGCAGGCGCTGTTCTGATTCTTTTCTCCATCGTTTAATTTTGTTTTTTCCTACAATGTAATATGAGTGGAACCACACGTTATCCTCTTTGTCTCTAGCTTCTGCTCAGCCTGTCCAGGGTGTTGTGTGCATGTTCCATTGCATGGATAGAACATGGGTGATCTGAAAGTGTGTTTCTTAGTTTCCAAGTATTTGGAGACTTTTGGGAGATACTTCTGTTAATTGATTTCTATTTTAATTTCATTGTGATCAGAGAATATGCTTTGTATAATTTTTAAATCTTTTTAAATTTGGGATTTATTTTGTGGCCTGGAGTGTGGGTCTATATTGGTAAATGATCTGTGTTTACCCAGAAGGAATGCGCATTCACTGTTGTGGCGTAGAGTGTTCTGCGGTGCTGAGCAGGCCGGTTAACGGGGGTTGTCAGCCTCTTGTATCCTTGCTGGTTTTGTCTGCTTGTCCTGTCACTTATTAGAAGAAGGATATTGAAATCTATGGCTAAAACTGGGGACTCATCTATTTCTCTTTGAGGGTCTATATGTTTTTGCTTCGTGCTTTTTAAGGCTGTTACTGGTGCATAAAGGTTTAGGATTGTTTTGTCTTCCTTCTAAAGAACTGATCCTTTTATAGTTATGAAATTATTTCTTTTATCCTGGTAATATTTTTTGCTCTTAAATGTACTTTGTCTGATATTAATTAATTCCAGCTTTCTTTGATTAGTGTCAGCATGGTATTACTTTTACCATTCTTTGCCTTAAACCTATTTGTGTCATTCTGTTTGAATTATGTTTCTTGTAGGAGCACATAGCTGGGCCGTGACTTTGTCTCCTGCCTGACAGTCTCTGCCTCCACCTGAGGTATTTATCTATTACATTTACTGCAGCCATTGATGTGGTTAGGTCTCCATCTACCTGCTCTTTTACTGCTTATTCTGTGTTTTGTTTCCTTGGTTTTCTTTCTCTAGCCTCTTTGTGATTACATTTTATCATCTTTGCTCTCTTAGGCCTTTCACTCTGTTTTGTCACTTAACTGGTTGTTTTAGGGTTAGTATATATCTTTAACTTATGGCAATCTACCCTCAAGTGGTGTTGGCCACTTCACATACAAGAACTGTCAAGAGCTTACTTCCATCTGCGCCTCCTCGCCTCCGTGCTATTGTTACGCATATTATCTTCACGTTACAAATCCTTCAGTACGCTGTCATTACTTTTGTTTATACAATTGCCTTTTAAAGAAACTTAAACAATAATGAAAATATTATATGTTTATTTATGAAATTGCCATTTACTGTGCATTCTTCATTTTTGTGTGTGTGTAGGTCCGTATTTCCATCTGGCATCATTTTCTTTCTCCCTGAAAGATTTTCTTTACTATTTCATGTAGCATTGGTCTGCTAGTGATATATTCTTTCAGCTTTTGTTTGTATGAAAAAGCCTTTATTTTACTTTTTGGAGGATATTATCCCTGTGTATAGGATTCTAGGTTGATAGGATCTTCTTTGCCAGAGAGAGGGAAAGAATTACTTATATGGGAAACCCCATCAGGCTGTCAGCAGATTCTCAGCAGAAACCTTACAGACCAGAAGGGAATGGCATGATATATTTAATGTATTGAAGCAGAAGGGCCTTCAACCAAGAGTCCTCTATCCAGCAAGATGATCATTCAGATCTGAAGGAGAGATTAAACTTTTCCCAGATAAATGGAGGCTGAAGGAATCACTACCATTAAACTGACATTATAGGATATGTTAAACGGACCTCTGTAGATGGAAATGTTCTTAAGCCTTAATACTTTTCACAGTGAAAATAAACCCACAGTAAATGTAGGAGACCAATTACTTACCAAGCAACTATGAAATTAAAACAAAACAAAAGTAGTAAAACCAACTATACACGAATATCAGTCAAGGGATATACCAAAAATGCAGATTATAACATCTAATACATAAAGTGTGGAGGAGGAAGAAGAAAAAAGTACTTTTAGATTGTGTTCAAAATAGAGCAATCATCAACTTAATATAGACTGTTACATAGTTAGGAAGCTATCATCAAACCTCTGGTAAACACACTAACCTAAAGCCTGTAACAGATACACAAAAAGTTAAAAAAGAGAAATCTAATCACAACACTAAAGAAAACCATTGAATAACAAGAAAAGAGTGTAAGAGAGGAAGAAAAGAACAGAGAGGAGCTATAAAAACAACCAGAAAACAATTAATAAAATGGTAATAAGTAAATACCTATCAATAATTACTTAAATGTAAATGGACTGAAGGTACCAATCAAAATACATAGGGTGGAAGAATGGATAAAGAAACAAGACCCATCTATATGCTGCCTACAGGAGACTCACTTCTCATTCACACAGATGAAAGTGAAGGGATGGAAAAAGATATTTCATGCAAGTAATAGGGAGGAAAAAAAACTGGAGTAGCAGTACTTGTATCAGAAAAAAGACTTCAAAACAAATAAAGTCACAAGAGACAGACACTGCATAATGATAAAGGGCTCAGTCCAACAAGAGGATATAACCATTATAAATATATATGCACCCAACACAGGAGCACTGGCATATGTGAAACAAATACTAACAGAACTAAAGGGGGAAATAGAATGCAATGCATTAATTTTAGGAGACTTCAACACACCACTCACTCCAAAGGACAGATCCACCAGACAGAAAATAAATAAGGACACAGAGGCACTGAGCAACACACTAGAGCAGATCGACTTAACAGACATCTACAGAACACCCCACCCAAAAGCAGCAGGATACACAGTCTTCTCAAGTGTACATGGGACATTCTTTCAGAATAGATCATATACTAGGCCACAAAAAGAGCCTCAATAAATAGTTTGTCTACCGTAAAGATCCTCTGAGCTTTGCCAGTTAAACCCTCACTCCTTCCCCCTCACCCCCTGGTAATTGACTTTTTACTGTCTTCATAGGTCTGGCGTTCAGTTCCCTTGGATATACACCCAGGAGTGGCAGTGCTGGGCCCGGGGGTCCTGGCCCTTGGGCAGCTCGCTCTTCCTGGGCAACCTGGGGGACCAGGCCTGCAGAGGGCCTGGGTGGTCCTGGCCCTCGGGTGGCTCCCCTGTCCTGGGCACAAGCCGCCTGGGCCTTCTCACCTCTTGAGTGGTCTTGTCAGTGGGAAATCATGGATTTGAACTGCCTGTACCTATCACAGGGAAATTATCAGAAATAGGGGAACAACTTTTGGCCAATGCATGTTTGTAAGAGCATCAGTGGTCTGACGTGAGAGGTTGGGGGCGGCACTGTGGTGGGCGTGTGGTCCTGGAGCGCCTCGGAGAGGGGAGGTCTCGAGACTCACACCGGGAGGAGGAGCTTAGAGGCGGCGGTGGAGCTCAGGGTGGTGGCTTCCAAGTGCAGATATTCTCCAGACTCATTGGATGATACGTTAAGTACGTACAGCGTTTTTGTACATCAACCACACGGTAAAAGAGAAGAAACGAGCTCAGAAGTGAGCCTGCGTGTGAGCCCTAAAAGCTGACAGGGTAAAACGAGACCAGACACGCTGGCTGTCTGTGTCTCAGAAAACCTTCCACTTCTGTATCTTCCCAATTCCTAGGGTGTCATTATACTTGGGAAGATAGGTTTACTGAGCCAAATGGGGAGCGGCCCCCTGTTTTCCCAGACAAGCGGCAGCCCCACAGCGGGTGCTGACTGGGAAGTCCATGCACCTGCCTCGGGGGAGACCTCCCATCAGCTTTTAATGAGCTCCCGGTTAGAGGCAGCCCGGACTCCAGGGCCTCAGCGGCCCCGAGGTGGCACCGGAGTGCCCAGGGCCGGTAATACTCCTCACCAGGCCTGGCAGCAGGGCTCAGTGCACGTCCTGGCTGCCAAGCACCCCTTGTCTCTGGGCCTCATCAGGACCTGCTCTAGCGGGCACCCACCCTGACTGCAGATGGGGGAAACAGGCTGAGCACTGGGGGGCACACTCCCATCACCTCCCAGGAGCCCTGCCCCAGGCAGCCAAGACCTTGGCACATTCAGTGTCCTGCCAGCCAGCCCAACTCCACACAACCCTGAGGGTGCCCCACAGGTGTACAGCAAAGCCCTCCGAGGGAGATGCTGGCACAGCTCAGAGGGTGAGCCCTTGCCCACAGCAGCCCGACTGCCAGCAGCCCACCCACATCACAGCTTCCTCCCATCCCCACTGGGCTGGGGCACCCCGCACAGGGCAGCAGCAGACCCCAGCTAGGCTCTGGCGGCAGCTATTTCTGGAAGGCGAGGCCAGGAGTGGGGCAGCCTGCGGTTTGCTTTCCAACCTGTGGGGTGTCATCTCCTAGTTTACAGAGAGCGAAGCTGAGGTGCAGAGAACCTGCCAGGAGCACCCAGTGCCCTGTGACAGCCTGGGCCTGGAGCCCCACCCCAGCCCCCACTCTCACAGAGTGGGCACCAGTGCAGGGCATGGCCCAGGAGACAGCCCAGCGCAGGTGAGGAATGGCTGCCAGGCAGCACCAAGGGTAGGAGGCCCTGCTCAGGCCCTGCACCACCCCCGAGCCCTCCCCAGCCTCTGCAGAACTGGCAAGACCCCCTTGCAGGCCTGAGCCCTGGGGAGGCCAGGTGGAGGGCACGAGTAAGCGGGCACAGGGCTCACCCTCCGCCCTCCCTCTGGTGGGTGGGCAGGCCGGGCTGTCTGGAGTGGGGCCCCTGGCTCTGAATCAGATGGATTTGCTGCGTGGGGTTCTAGCTGGAGCACCAGCAGCCTCGGATCTGGGCTCCCGGGAGGGATGTCAGTCGGCAGCTCACGGCCTTGGGGTTAGGGAGCCATTACCCTGGAAGAGGAGGGCCTGCCTCTGAGGGAGGAGGGCAGCCTGGGGGCAGGATGACGCAGCGGTGCTGCTGGCTCCCCCAAAAGGCTGGGGCCTGGGTCTGCACCGGGCTGGGTGCTGCTGGCCACCTGAGCGACGAGAGTCCGTGTCACCTGGTGGAGCTGTCCCCGGACCTGCAGCACTGTGTTGGTGGGCAGTCAGGCCGCCTTCCTGGGTGGCTGGAATCTGCCTCCTGGCCACTGCAGTGGGTGTGTGGGAGCTGTAGGAGGGCTCGGGCTGCTCCCTGCAGGCCTGGAGCAGCCAGTGACCCCGGAACCCGTTCCTTCCTGCCACGTCTCCAGGACATAGGCATCAGAAAGCAAGCGGCTGAGCCAGCAAGAGACCGTTGCGGACAAGTGAGGGGGTCTGCCATCCACAGTGGCATGCCTGCACTCCCCTCCTGCTTCAGGGGGACTGTCCTGGGGCCTTCACAGACCCCCAATCACACTGTGTCCCCACCTGCCAACCTGCCAGAGCAGGTTCTCCCCCACTGCAGGTCTGTTTGCCCCCTCTGGCCCCTAGGAGGAGTCACGTTATGTGGGGTCCCCACAATGGGCTCATTTTGTCCCTTTGAGTCTTCTCAGGGGACACCTTGCAAATGGGGGCGATTCCGTGGGATCAGGGTGGTATGCACCATGCACTGCTGGGTGGATCCTGATGCTCACCCACTGGCACATGGGAGCAGTGCCCTCTCCTCCCACTGTGAGCTGCTACGTGGGAGCCCTGGATGCGGGGTGGTTGGAGTCTTGCTGAGGCTGAGTCCTCGTGGTGGTGACGTTCAACAGCCACAACGGTTTTCTAAATGAGAGGCTGTCTCCTGCAGGCTGAGAAAAAACAGCCCCACCCCTCGGGTCCAGACCCAACGCCCCAGGCTGAGTGGCTCTTGCTGGCAGCTGTGGGCTGCAGGGCCGAGGATTGTGAACTGCACAGCAGACCCAGGCCCCAGTCCCACCTAGGCAGGGGTCTATGCCCACCCAGGGTTCAGGAGACCGGCAGGGAACGCACTGCTGCAGATGGTCCTCTAGGGGTTTGTTTTGTCTGAATGCCCACTGCAAGGCTGCGTGGCTGTGGAGGCAGCGGCCCAGTGCCAGGGCAGGTGTCTGGCGGACCTGGCTGGAGCATGGGCCATTTTGTTTCTGTCACTGCCCTGTGGGCCGAGGGACCCTGAGTCCATCGGGAAGGGGGTTAGTGCTCCGTGGGCTGGTCCAGGGAGTGTGAGCGTGCACACAGTGTGAGCCCAGGCCCCTGAGTCCATCAGGAAGGGGGTTAGTGCTCCGTGGGCTGGTCCAGGGAGTGTGAGCATGCACACAGTGTGAGCACAGGCCATGAGTGTGTTTGCAGCAGGAGCACCTGTATGGTGGGTGTGCATGTGACGGTGGTGAGACAGGGACCATGGGTTTAGGCAGAGTAGGGTGAGGGCCTCCGGAAAATGACCCCTACCAAAACTCTGTATTGAATAATTAAGCAAAGTCAGAGTCACATTAATTCTTTAAAGTAAAATATCAAACTAGGAATATAAGCATTCTTAGTGAAATTAGTTAAAACCAAAAAGCCAGGAATAACTTGGCCTGGAATGTTTGAATATCCCCCAGATAAGAGAACATCTCCGTATAGCCCATGTCTTCGTTGTTTCAGTTAAATCAGGCTATTGTAAAATTTACTTTAGCCTGCTAAAAGGCCCAGCTTATTTTCTGATGCTGCTTTTCTTCCTCCAGCCCTAAATCAAATGATTTGCAACCTGGGCAATTAAAAATGGCAAGCAAACCCAGTCATAAACAACATAATAAAAACAGGAAGGACTCCATCTTAAAGATAAGATTGCATTTTAAAATCCAAGAAGTCAAAAAATAAGTTTCTTGACATAACAGACAACTCAGCCCTCCTTGGGAGCAGGACAGGCAGTCTTGATTGATGTGCTCCCAGACCAAGAAGCTGCTCTTCGGCGAAAGAATCAGCAGTGAATTTCTTGTGTTAATAACTGCAAAATAACCCAGACGACTGATAATAAACTTAGTGTCTCTTCAAAAATAAACATTTGGGGACCATCTGGCAGGTCAGCATCCCCAGCCCTCTGCCTCTCAACTGCCTGTAAAACCCCTAAGCAAGGCACAACCACGGGCTCTCTTGTCCCCTCCTGGTGCAAGCCAGGAGCTCTTTCCTCTCACTGTCTCTCTAAATAAAAGGCTCTCCCTTGCTCTCCTACTGGAGTGTTGGCGAAGTTCATTCTTTGACTCCGTGAACAGGAGTGAACAAGAACCCCGGCATCTGCCTGGGAGGGGGTGGGGTCAACCCAGCACGCGCTGCGCCCGCCTGTTGCCGTGGCTGCTGAGCGTCTGGAGCTCTTACTGACCGGCCCGCCTGCCTTGAGCCGGTGCCAGTGGGTCCGGAGCAACGAGCGCACGGGCCTCGGGCACCAGGTCCAGACGCGGGTTCCGGGAGGGTCGCGGGAGGCGCCGAGGCCCCCGGGATACCCCCGCGCCCCGCGCCCTCCCCGCTCCTTCCCCGCTCCCCTAGCACTGCCATCCCAGCTCCCCGCCGGCAGGGGGCGCCAGGGACACAGCTGTTGGCGATTTCTCATCCCAGCGGCGCCCGCCTGCCTCGGATCCCAGCTAACAAGGTCCCGGTGGGCAGCCCCTGGGGAGGAGGACAGGCCCCTCTCCCACAGGGATGCTAGGCCCCACTAGGGTCCTGGGATTGTAGGACGAGTAAGCCCCAGAGAGGGCTGGGGAGGGCCAGGCCCGCTGTTCCTGAATCCCCGGGAAGACTGCGCGAGGGGGAGCCTTCGTGCTGCTGGTGCTCTGTGTCCCCACACAGCTTTGGGGCTGGGGCCACGGCCAGAGCCTCTCCGCAGGGCCGCTCATCCTGCTGGGCTTCCCGGGGCCTGCTCCTCCCGGTCATGCATCTGCTCCCGGTGGCCGGGAACCCGGCCATCAGCTCCCAGGTGAGGGCGCTCCGCCGCCTCTAGACACCCGTGTATTTCTTCCTCTGCAACCTCTCCTCCCTGGAGAGCTGGTTCGCCGCGGCCTGCGTGCCCCAGACCCTGGCCGTGCTCACCCTGTGGAGCTGGGCCCTCCAACGGCCGTGCTGCCCAGGTGCACGTGGTCTTCCCGGCAGGCTGCTGCGGGTACTTCCTGCGGGCTGTGGCCCCCCCGCCGCTGCCTGGCCATCTGCTTGCCGCTGTGCTCCGTCCACACGATGACGCCCAGCCTCTCCGGGTGCCTGGCCCTGGGCTCCTGCCTGTGCGGCTTCTCCTCCATCACCGTGCCTGCCTCTCCTGCGGCTCCTGTGTCAAACCAGCCACTTCCATGACATCGTGCCCTGGGCTGCGCTGTCCTGCCGTGACTGGTGGGTGGTGGAGCCCGCATCCTTCAGCATCGCCTTCTTGCTTCACCACGCTGGTCTCCCATGCCTACATCATTGCCACCGGAGCCAGGACCCCCTTGGCCCAAGGTCCAGGGCTGGCACAGGGCCTTCTCCACCTGCTCTCACAGCAGTCCCGGCAGCTCCACTACCTTCCTGCACGTGAGGACCTTGATGGAGAGCTTGCTGGACTTGACCAAGGCTGTCAGTGCTCAACACCGTTGTGACCCTGGTGCCACAGCCCCGCGTACACCTGGAGGAACAAGGACATCAGGCGGCTCTGCGGAGGTGGGTGCAGGGTAGGTGAGCCCCTCAGAGATGGCTCTGCAGGGCCAGGTCCTCCAATTCCCCATTGTGGGGAGTCAGTTCTGGGTACCAGTCTCTGCACAGCTGAAGCTGGTGCCCTGATATCACCAGGTGGCTGGGGCTCCTGGGAGGCCGAAGCCTGGGCCCAGTTCTCAGCAGTCTGGAGGGGGCTCCCATCCTAGCCTCCGGGAGGTTCTGTGGCTCTCACAGGGCTTACCAAGGGCTGCTCAGGCCCCCTGCATTCCAGACACAGATTCCAGAAGGGAAATTGGGGCACACAGCCCTGGAGGTCAACCACAGAGGTGACAACTCAGAGAAATCTGTGTGAAAACCAGTATCAGGAAGCTAAGCAGCCTTGGACGGCTATTTAGGGTCAGTGTGGGAGTTTGCCTCTCTTTAGGGATCCCCAGAGCACGCCCACCACGGTGGTCTCACATTTCTGGGGGCCTGAACCCTGAGCCCTCAGGCATCAGAGGAAGGGGCGCTTGGTGCCGCCTCTGAGTGATGTCACGTGAGGTCGCTGGGGACCGGAAGCTCCATGAGAGGCCTGGCCCAGCCTGACAGCCATGCTTACTTGTTCTTGGGGCCGCATGATGGGGTTAGAAGCACAGGCTCAGAAGCTGGGTGTCTGGATCCACCCTGCTGCCCCATGACTTGTAACCACTCTGTGTCTTCATCTGTAAGTGGGAATCTGAAAGCACAATCTCATGGAGCCCTAATGAGTATCAAATAAAGTAATGTGTTTGAAGTGCTTAGAATAAGGTGTGACTGGAACAAGCCCCGGGGAGACACTGTTGTTACTATTAATGTCATCTTAGCAGATGAACCAGTGCATGGGGCACCCCTTGTTTCTCCTTCACCAATCAGGCCGTGTCCCTGGCCCAGCACCCACCTTGGTGGCCCAGTCACCAGGGACTTCCAAGAGAGCTAGACTCTCCTGCCAGCCAGGCCCAGGACTGCCTGGACTTGGCAGGCACGGGCCATCAGGAGCCATGGCCACAGCGTCTACCCAGGGACAGAGCATGATGCTCAGGCACGAGGCCCGTGGTCACGCCAGCCCAGCCTGCCCAGGGCTGCTGGCCAAGCTCAGGAGGGGCCTGTGAGGCGTCCTGGGCTGTGGGAGGCCACTGCAGTGTGAGTGCACAGGGCCCGGGGCCCTCTGAACAGTGCGCTGCCCCCTCCATCTTGGCCCAAGAACCACTGCTTGAGCCTGGGGCCGAACCCCAAGTTCAGAGCTGCACACTGGCCCGGGCCCCTGCCACTGGCTCCGTAAAGGACACATTTCTCTCTCTCGGACTGGGACACCGTCATCTATAGCTAATGACACTTGTGCAGTCTCTGCTTTTGTGAAGCTGTTTTCCGAATAATGAATCAAAGAGCGTCCGCATTCAGTTGGCGCATGCTTTTGCTGGCCTTATGGGTGAATCAGGACCCTCTGAATCAGCATGGTGTGTGGTGCTCACAGTCACACTGCAGGGGAACTTGATTTGGCCTGCAGACCTGCCTAGGGAAGGGGAGGGAGGGACGCAAAGGTTGGTAACTCTATCGCTGGGGCACCCAAGGCCCAGAGAGGCTGACTGACCCCTCAAAGCCACACAGCAGGCATCACCAGGGCCCACCTCAATCCAGGTGGTCCATGCTGCCACAACCCTTCGCTGTAGATTTCTCTCCTCTGAGACTGAGGCAGGGGCTGTGAGTGGCCCTGAGAGGTGTGGGGGTGCCACCAGGGCCCCTCCTTGCCCTGCCCCTCTGCCCTGCCCTTAACCTTGGCCCCAAGTCCTCCAGCCCTGGCCTGTGCCCCTTGGTGCAGGTTAGGGCTCCGGAGCAGCGGGCAGGCTGCCAGACCCTGGGTGTGGCCTCAGGGCAGAGGCCGATGCTGCGTAGATGGCCACCTGACCAAGCCACCTCCGAACGCTTCCTGTCCTTGCTGAGGTCAAGGGTTTTCCGGGGCTAAGGACCGAGGGCCCGAGGCGGCCACGGCTGGGCTCTCCGGGGAAGGCGGGCGCGCGGACGTGACCGAGCGCCGGACCACGGCCTGCAGGCGTCCTTCCTCGCTCCCCTGGGGGGGAGACTCCGCAGGGAACCCGCGGCTGGGACGCGGGCTCCTTGGCTTTAGGCGCTGGCGGGTGGCGATTCCTCGGGGAGCGGGGTGCGGGCGGCGCTCGGGGCCCCGGTGCGCTTCGGCCGGCTGATTCCCGGGCCTCATTCCTCTTGCACGCGTGTGGCGATCGCAGCGACGCTGGGTGTCAGCGCGGCTCCAGGGCACCTGTGGATGAATGGGCACAAGTCTCCGGAGGACGGGCGCCTCGTGACCTGCGTGGACGTGGGCCTGGCTTTGGAAAGTTGGGGCTCTAAAACGGGCAGATCTGCAAAGAGCAGCGCGCCCCACGTCGTATGAACCTTGCACTTGAATGTCACTGTTACGCGTAAACCCATTCTTCTCAGGGCTCAGCTCAGACCCACCCGGGAGCTTTCTCCTCGCAGCGCCCCGCAGTCGGGCGCCCGGGGCTCCCTCCCGCTGAGCAGCCAGTTGGCTCTGGCGTTTTGGGGATCCCCAGTAAGTCAGTGAAGGAGAACCAGACTTGTAACATTTCCTGCTGTTATCATCCTTCTCTCTCGCTCTTTAGGTGAAAAAATTTAATGGTGGCTTTTAAACGTATAAACTTAGCATTTTTAGATTTATAGAAAAATTGAGCAGAAAGTACAGAGTTCCCAAATAACACCCCCACTCCAGTTTTTCCTTATTAACATCTTGCATTAGTGTGGGGTACCTTTGCTACAACTGGTGAACAAATACTGTGCATCATCATCGACTCAAGTCCCTGACCGACGTCAGGGTCACTCTGCTGTCCAGTCCATGGGCTCGGACAAATATATACGCAGTGCATCCACCATCCCAGTGTCATGGAAGTAGTTTCCCTGACCAAAAATCTCCTGTGCTCCACTCGCTCATCCCTCCTCCCCTCCGTCCTGAACCCCTGCAGTCTCTCATCTTTTTCCTGTCTCTGTATTTTATCTTTTCCAAACTCACACAGTTGCAATAGTCCACTATGGAGTCTCTTCCGACTGGATTGTTTGACTTGGTAATATGTGGTTAAGCTTCCTCCATGTCTTTTTGTGACTGGATAGCCCATTCATTTTTTTAAATTACCGAATAATATTCCAGTAATTTAAATTACTGAATAATATTGTCTGGATGTACCACAGTTTATTTATTCATTCACTTATTAAAGAGTATCTTGGCTGCTTCTAGATTTTGGTAACTGAATAAAGCTGCTATAAACATTTGTGTGCAGGTTTTTGTGTGGATGTTTTCAACTTGTTTGGGTAAGTATCTAGGAGTGCGATTGCTGGATACTGAGGGAAGACCATGTCTAACTGTGCGAAGCCGCCGACCTGTCTTCCGCAGGGGCATGCCACTCTGCGTCCTTGCCAGCGGTG